GAGATGTCTGTTCAGGGAAGTCTATTTCTTCCTGGCGAGCCTAGGAGGCTGTGTGTGTCTAATAATTCTGTCATTCCCTCACACATTTCCAGTTCGTGTGCATAAAGATTTTGAGTATTCATAAATCATATCTATATCTTCTTGGATCAGTTGTGATATCTCGCTTTTTGTTCCTGAGGGCTTATTACATTCTACTTTTCGCTTTTCGTTAGCCTAGCCAAATGCATGTCAATTTTTTTTAGTTTTTTCAAAGAACCAACTTTTGTTTATTAATCCCTGAATATGCTCTCTGTTTTCAACTTCCATTTAGTTCTGATTTGATCTGTTGATTTTCAATTCTATCTGCTGGGTTTGGGGTTGGTCTGTCTTCTTTATCCAGCCTTTGACTGTTCATTAGATTGTCTATTGTGATCTTTTTGACATTTGTTTTAGGCATTAGGAGATAAACTTTCCTCCAGAACTGTTTTAGCTGTGTCCAGAGGAGTTGAAAACTTGTCTCTCCATTGTCATTTGTGTTCATAAAAAATATTTTTTTATTTCCATCTTGATTCTTCATTTATGGAAAGTAATCATTTAGTAGAGGTTGTTTAATTTCCACGTGTTTGTGTAGAGATGTGGAGGTTTCTGTTAAGGTGATTTCTACTTTATTCAGTTGATGATATGAGAGATACAGGGTACGATATACTATTTTTTTAAATTCTTGAGCTTACTTTGGTCCTACGATAGTCAGTCTTAGAGAATGTCCCGTGAGCGATTGAGAAGAACGTATATTAAGAATTTGGGTAAATGTTGTAATGCATCAGACCCAAGTGTCTCTAGATTTTGTTTAAGTCCATTATTTCTTTGTTATTTCTGTTTGTTGAGGATCTGTCTTGTGCGCAAATCAGATGGGTGTTGAATCTCCGGATTATGGAGTTTGCTATAATCCATTGCTAGCTCCAGTAAGGTTTGCTTTTTTCATGAAACTGGTGCACCTAAGTTGGGTGCATATATATTTAAAATTGTTATCTCTCTTGTTGAATGTGCCCTTCACATTATATAATGACCCTCTGTGTCTTTCACTACTTTTGTTGGTTTAAAAACTAAATCATCTGAAATTAGAACTGCCACGCCAGCCTTCCTTTGGTTTCCACTTGCTTGAAATACTGATCTCTACCCTTTTACTTTTAGTCTATATGCATCCTTGCAGGTTAGATGTGTTTCCTGAAGACAGCATATACTTGGTCTGTATTTTCTTATTCATTCAGCCAGCCTATGTCTCTTGAGTGGAGAGTTAAGCCATTCACATTTATTGAGAGAACTGATAGGTAAGGTAGATTACTGTTCATTCTGTTGGGTTGGATATTGTTGCTTTGATTTCTCTTTTGAGCTATGGTAATATCTGGCCTTTAATCTTTGGGTTTTGGTTGTTTTTATATTTGTGAGTTTTTATTATGGTGTTCTGTGTGTAACACTGTTTTGAGTACTTCTTGTAGGGCTGGTCTTGTATAGTGAATTCTCTGAGACTCTGCTTATCTGAGAATGTCTTAATTTCTCCTTCATATATAAAGCTTAGTTTTGTAAGGTACACGATTCTAGGCTGGAGGTTATTTTGTTTCAAAAGAGTGAGAGTGGGTCCCCATTCCCTCCTTGCTTGTATTGTTTCAGTTGAGAAATCTGGCGTTATTCAGATCAGTTTTCCTTTGTATGTAACTTGCTTCTTTCGCCTTACAGCTTGTAGGAGGGTCTCTTTTGTTGATATTTTGGTCAGTCTGATGACTACATGGCGTGGTGTTTTCCTGTTTCCATTGTATCTCCCAGGAGTCCTTTTGGTCTCTTGTATTTCTAATTCTAGGTTACTGGTTAGATCTGGGAAGTTTTCCTCAATTATTTCTTCAAAAAGCTTTTTTAACCCTTGGGTTTTTTTTTTCCTCCTCCTCCAGAATCCAATGGACCCACAGGTTATTTTTCTTTGTATAATCCCACAATTCATGTAAGCTTTCCTCAAGTCTCTTATTTTTCTGCTCTAACTCTGTGATTAACTTATTTGATTTGAATGAATTGTCTTCAATCTCTGAGATTCTTTTTTCTGTTTGGTCCACCCTATTTTTGAGGCTTTCCACTGTGTTTTGATTTACCCTGAATAAATTCTTCATATCGAGGATGTCTGATTGATTCTTCTTCAAGATATCGATCTCCTTAGTGAATCTTTGTTCCAATTCTTGTATCTTCTTTGTAGTTTCTTTGTGTTGGTTATCCATTTTTTCTTGCAGATCATTGAGCTTTCTTACAATCCAATTTTGGAATTCTTCTTCTGTCATTTTAGTGTTTTGGGTTTGTTCAGACTCCGTTTTTTGAGAGCTAGTGTATCTCCTAGAGGGAATATTTTCGGTTTGATTTTTTGAATTGTGTTGAGCCCTCCCCATCTGGGTCAATTGCTAGAGCTCCGTCTTCCACTTTTTTGTAGTTTCTTTATCAACCACTGGGGGGAGCTCTTCCACCACACTTGGAAGGCTCCCCTGATGGGGATAGTTTCAGAGGTTTCTCCCTAGATTTTGGAAAGAGTGGGTTTTCTTGTCGCGCCCCGCCTCCAGGGGTGGAGCCTACCACTTTGGGCAAGAGAGATGCGGGCTGAGGGGAGGAGGTATCTCCCCAGTCTGCCCTGCACCCCGGTGCCCCAGTGGCTGTAACTCCCCTCTGCTGTTAGACTTCTCAGTAGTTCCTTGATGGAGACAGGCCTGGCGAGCCAATGGCAGATTGTGTAGGGGTGGGATTTGCCAGGAGAGACTCTAGGCTGGGCGGGGGAGGGGGACTTGCCCGCTGACGGCTGGGCTGTGGACCCCCTCAGTGGAGACCACTAGCCCACTCGTAGGGCACCAGTACTGGGGGTGACTGATTAGGGTGCGGCCGGTGCCGGGATGGGAGCCTGGGTCAATAGGAAGCCCCGTAGCTTCCTCCATGCCGCCTGCATGACTGCCTGTTCAGCCAGAGCCCTCGCTTTTACTGACCCGCCCTGTGCGGTTTTATTCTCCCAGGTTCAGTTTCCTCCTGTCTTGGAGCCGTCTTAGCACGGGGTTCAGGGGAGACCACGCCGCCTTTCACCATCAACCACACCCTCCAGCACCCTCTTCTGCCGTGATTTCGCACCAGTTTCAGACAGGGCTCTGGCTGGGTGGGTGTGGAGGTCAATGGGGAAGCAAGGAGTTCTCCTGTGGGTCTGATCCCACTTCACCCCCTGGCCCGGTGGGCCGGCGCCCTACCACGTGCCCTATTGTTTGCGTTGCACTCTCCAGAGAATGCGATCTTATCTCCTGATCACCTTGTTTTCCCTTTTTGAGAGAGTCCCTCACTGCACCTCTGCTGATTCTCGATGCTGTCCTTGTAGTGGGGAGATCCACTCTCATGTAGGAGACCAAGATCTGTGTCTCCCTCTCTGGGAGCAGGAGTCCGGAGGGTTACCTCTACTCCGCCATTTTTCCCCCTCTGGTCAACCTATCAGTCTTAATATTCTTACCTATAGAAGGGCACAGCATCCTAATTCATGGATTTGCTATGAAGATTAAATAAGATTGTGTAAGAGTGCATAGCCCAGTGTCCGGCAGAGTGGACTCCTGTACTGAAGTATTGAGGAATAACTTGGGGTAACGCTTGCACAATACTGTGAATGTACTAAATGCCACGACTTGTACACTTGAACATTATTAAAATGGTGAATTTGATGTTAAGTGAATGTTGCCACAATAAAACATATAGAATAAATGGAGGTTTCCAGGCAGAAAATGTGGACAGAAAGAGTGGGAGGTAGCATTTTAGGCATAATAAATAGCTTCTGAGAGTTCTTGATGAAAGGCTGTACAGGACAGAGACAATAACAGCTTGTGGCTTGGTGCGGTGGCTCACACCTGTAATCACAGCACTTTGGGAGGCTGAGGTGAGAGGATCGCTTGAGGCCAAGAGTTTGAGACCAGCCTGGGCAGCATAGCAATACCCTGTCTCTAAAAAATAAAATAAAATTAGTTGGGCATGGTAGTGCACACCTGTAGTCCCAGCTACTTGGGAAACTAAGGTGAGAGGATTACTTGAGCCCAGGAGTTCGAGACTGCAGTGAGCTATGATCATGCCACTGCACTCCAGCCTGGGTGACAGAGCCAGACAGAGCAAGACTCTATCTCTAAAAGAAAAAAAAGAATGAAGTGTATAGGCACTCGACTACAGACTTCTCTCTAGTCAGGATGAGTTTCCATTGGCATTTTGATGTAAGTCATATTCCCTTCATTACCCACCAGGACAGCCTGAAAGAGTTTGTCAAACACTTTGCTGAAGTCAAGACCAAGGTGAAATCACTTTGAATGGAGGTGGAAGAGGTTTCATTTAAGTTGAGAGGTAAAGCCACGCTGAATATGCAGAGTGGGTCCCAGCCTTTCCTGCACAGTATAATTACCTGGGCAAGGTTTAACACATTGACTGCCACGTTAGAAAAAAAAATTTCCCCTGGGGCCACAGTGTTTTATTAAAATGATCCATTCTAATTTGTTATTTTGTATTATTTTCTGTGTGTGAGTTATATGCAACACAATCCATGGTTTTAGAATAAAATAGTCAATATTAATTGTAACAATAAGAACATAAAGTAAGATTTTCACTAACCAACTGCAGGGCTTTGCTTCAGGCAGCCCTGGGCTCAAAACTAGCCTGAGTTAAATACAACTCATGTGGCAGTCAGTGTGGTCAAGAAATGCACGTGAGATTGCAACTCTGGGTGGTGCACATGCCTGAGTGTTTTACTGCAAGCTTCTCAGGGGATTCTAACACAGAGACAAGGTTGAGGACCTGTGTAAGCTGATGGGTTAAAGTTATTTTTATCTAAGGCATGTCCTGTTCTCTAATTGGCCCAGCCACACATGGAGCACCCAAAACCAACATGTGACAAGCAGCTGACTTTCTCTTTAGAGGGGCTACTTGAAGCCATGTGACTAGAATGAGAATCAGGCCAGAGAAAGCACAAACATGTTAACAAAGCAGATAGTTCAACCGCTTTATTGTATTTTTACAATAATAAAAATAAATTAGTCACACACAAAAATAGTTGTCATTTTTGCTGATGAGAAAACAGACTGCATTTACTCATATGATTCACCTTCTACCCTTCACCTGCTTACATAATAACTTAACACTACACGGCGACGTGGAGTTGACAGAGTATTTAGTGGGGTCCTTGCTCTCGGCTGTGCAGTTCACAGGCCAGTCCTGGGCCCTGGCCCCAGCAGTCCCCAGCGGGGACTGAGGAGGCGTCAGCGCAGTGAAAGCCACCACATCCTGGAAGCCCCTCCCTGACCCTGCCGGGTCCCCAGGCACCAGCACGCCTCCTGAGCAGCTGCCGCCCGCCATTCCAAAGATGGGGTATAACAGACCCTCAAATTCCCGTCTCCAAATGTTTGGGGATGAGGAGAAGGCAGATTATATGAGGAAATGTAATATTTAAGATGGAAAAGTGGTATTCTGGTTCAGGCACGATGCCAGGGGTGAAAGCCCCTAAGTGAGTCGAAAAGCAGAGGAATTTATATTCGCTCTTAAACACCAAGGCGTTGGACGAAGCAGTATGTACTAAACAATCGCAGCTACGGACTCAGTTAATGCGACGTTATTGTGCGGTGATGTTTCGGGAAGCTGGGTTAGTATGATCAAATCATTTCACACAAATGTGGATCGCATATGCAAATAAATACCTATTAGATCCCCTTAAAATTAACATACTCTAAATAATAGAACTATTTTGGTGTTGTGACTCATTCTGCTGATAGAATTCAGAATACATATTTCCTATAAACATCTTGTATTTACAAAGAACAACATAATAAGTTATAACAAAGTATATCCTTCTGTCGGCCGAATGGGGCAGGGGCGGGGGCAGGCGGGAGGGGGTGCTGCCCTCCCACCCGGCCGGGCTCGGCGTCTGGAGCTGCTCAGACAGGTGGCTGCAAGTTTCCTCCCTCTTGTGGCCGCTTTCCCCCAGCACTACGGACATCTCCCATCGTCACACACTGAATGGGACCAGGAATGGGCATGGTTCAGGGTGGAGAGAATCATTTTGTTCTGGGAAAGGTTCGGGACAGCAAGATGAGCTGAGAGAGGACAGGGTGCGTAAGGGGTCCTGGGCTGTCGAAGCTGGGACTCGGGCAGGCAACTCAGCGTCCTGACGTTTATTTCTCAAAGCAGGGCCAGGCAGGGCAGCTCTGACCACGTCACTAGTGGGTCTCTGACACCTGAGGCCGCATTCGGCTCAGGAGAGGGTACCACAAGGGCTTCACAATGGCTGACACGGTGGCGAAAGTCAGAAATGGGAAGTGTGTGCTGTGTCCTTGCTCCATCCCAGACCAGATGAATGAGGCTCAACTCTTCTACTTACAGAATCACGAAAGCCCCGCGTTGCAAAGGACGCTAAACAGATGCTGGAATCCCCTCCCAGCGCCCCTGACAAAGGGCCATTCGGTCTCTGCTGCCACCTGCAGTGATGGTTCAATCACCACCTGGCACAGAGTCCCTCTACCTTCAGAAGGCTCCAACTTATAGAAAGTTGGTTATTCTGCAAGAGCCGAAACCTGCCTCCCTTAGCTCCCCCTCCCGGTCCTGGCACAGCTGCCACCGTGCCCTGTCTCTTCTCCAGCCTGCGCTTTCTCAGGTCCTCCCGCCGTTTCCGGCGGTCTGCACCCTCCACCCGGACCGGGCGCTCTCATCTGAGCGTCACACGGGACCAACATGCTTAGAGCGTGGTTCCGACAATCACAGACAACATGTGGTGTGACTCTTGCCAATGTTTTCTCCTTACGTGGCCTGTTTGTGGGTTTTGTTTGTTTGTTGGCGGTTCCATCCCATTTTTGGACTCACATTGAGCTTAGTCACCTGTAATTCTTACATCTCCCTCACCTTGTACTTGCGTAGTTTTTCTTCTTAGTTCAAAGGTAGGGCTTTATGTTTCTTCCTGGTGAGTTTGTAAGGTACAGATTTTATTCTAGTCTCCCTGACCTTTTTCGATCCAGAACCCGTCACCCCGGCCATAAGCTCTCTGACTCCATGCCATCCACGAGTTGTACTGGTGAGGCATCTATTTTCCCATCCAAGCCACATTAAATATGTTTTATATGACAAAGATCAAATGGTGGTCACCTGCCAGGTTGACCTAGATTATTCAGCCTATTTTAAGAAAAATCATGTTTCTTTTTATGGCTCACATTTACGTGTTTTTCCTTATTAGAAAGTTGATATTCAAACTCTAAAATGGCTACATTAATGAGAAAAAAAGACGGTGGTTTAGAAAGGTGCTAGTGATCTCTGGATTTCTCTGTCTGCTGCAAACTTGATGAAAATTCATTAAGCTGTTGTCTGTCATTTTTAAGAATGCCTTTGCAAGGCCACTCTTTTTAAAGGGAGGAGTGGTGAAAGCTAAACGCCTTGAGAATAAGTAGATGACAATGCTCACGGAAACGAAGGAAAAACAAACCCCAAAGAACCTGGGCCAGAGGGGCTGGGCAAAGGGACAGCGGGGCAGTTCTGAGAGCGTCAGTCGCGCTGGAGCTCCCCGAGGGCGGGTCCCCATGCAGGGGAGGGCAGGAGCAAGCCTCCCTCCCACTGAACTGCCTCCCTGTAGGGGCCCTCTGCAAGGTTTCTTTTGTTTTTGTTTTTCAGTCCTGTGTTTCTTAAGCTGTCCCTTTTCTATGGAGACAACTGCAAGTCGCTGTGAGGGTGGGCAGGACTGACTGTGTTAAATGGCCCTTGCATGGCGGCAAGAGGCGCGATGTCCTTTTCCAGTAAGTAAAACAGCAAACTATTTCTGTTAGGAGCTTGGTTGATTTTTGTGAGGAAAACATATAACAGCTCTAATTTACGCTTTTTAAAATTCAGTGCAAGGAGTGAGGTGATCCTGCACATAGGACAAAAGCAGTGTTCAAATGCAAATTTCAGTTCCACGTGTGTGTGTGTGTGTGTGTGTGTGTGTGTGTGTGTGTGTGTGTGTGGGCAGTGAGAGGCCCAGGGAGGAGATGGCAGGTGGGAGAGCGGGAGGGCGCTGGAGGGAGGCGGAGACATGCCCGGAGGAGAGTGTCCCCAGGACGCGGCTTTTCTTAGCCTCCCTCCCCAGGAAAGTCAGCACCGGAAACGGCCAAGGCCCTGATTGCACTGTGCTAGGAGAAAGGCATTTTGCTGAAATAAGAAACTGGGAAATTAGTAAAAATTGGATCACTAAGACAAATAAGTTGATTAAAAACCTCTGTTCTAGTAATCACGAACCTTTCCAGAGATCAAGAATGCTAATCTGTTTGTTGGAAGAAAAAAAGAGACTTCTCATTCAGGTAATTTTTTCCTCTCCAAGACAAGGGGTTGAGCCACTGCTGCTGCCCAACTGCACAGCGGGCAGGCGGGGAGGGTCGCTGTCCTTTTAAAGAACTGTTAGGCCACATCCAGGAGCCACAGGACACCTCAGACGCTAACGATACAAAGCCGTCACTAGCCAGGCCCAGTCATGAGGAGTCCTGCGGTGGAGTGGCTGAGATGTTCACCTCCCACTGGACAGAGACCGCTTGTTAAGGACGCTGAGGTCCCTGGAGCGTGGCGGCCCAGGCCTGCTGGGCGGCTTTGGCACTAGCACACATTCCCCTACCCTGGGCTAAAATCAGCCTTCCTCTTCCACCTGTGGCTCTAGCCCTGCCTTCCAGCGTGAAAGCAAACCCTCCCCAAGTGTTCCCAGCCAAGAACACTTTGGCCTGCTCAGCAAGTCCCCACGGCAGCTGCACTCCCCTGTGACAAGAAGTGACAAGCAGCAAGGGGGAGAGGCGGGCGCTGAACAGCACCCGCCAGTGTGCTTGGCTCTCTGGTCTCCCCGGAGTCTGAACCTCAGCCCGGCTCCTACCTGCAGAGTCCCATGAGAACACGGTGACGGGGGCCTGCTTCTGGGAAATGGAGCCTGGACGCTCCAGGGACAGAGGCTGGGAGGGCGTCTACAGAAAGGCCACACATTTGCTGAAAGCCCAATGTTAGTGGAAACCTAACGGAGTGTGTCAGACTGGGCCGGTGATGTGGCTTCCAAAAGCTGCAAATGATCATCAAACTGGTAGATTTCCAAGTAAAAGAGATAATGGGAGAAATCTAGTTGCTAAGAATCCACACTTGCTTTAAAAGGGAAATATGCCCAGGACCATAAATAAGAGAAATTTTCTACAAGTTCAAAATTTGTTCAGGCTAGTATTTTTCTTAATGGATAAAATTTACACCTTCCTCTCAGCTGGGATTTCAGATGGTCCCGTCAATCCATGTGCACTGCAACCCCCTTCAGGCCTACGGCCCCGGGACTGGAGAGCTGGGTGCAGTGAACTGGCCAGACGGGGAGGGGTCCACAGCCCCTTCTCCCAGCCAGCGGCGCTAATGCAGCTCTGCCTGCTCGAGCCTGCGCTGGGGTGTGGGGAGGGTTGCGTGGGGGAGGCCAGAGAGAGAAATCCATGATTGAAACCAGAAAGACCAAAGGGAGATTCTAATATGACAGAGGCTCTTTGGCAGGACACACTGGCTGGACGTCCCCCTGGGCCGAGCGCAGGAGTCTGCTCTGCCGCAGACAGGCTCTGTGGCCGGGGCCCCTGGCTAGGGTTCACGGAGGGGCAGCGCCCGGATGGAATCAGCATTGCAGGCGATCGCCTGGCTTCCCCAGTGGCTTGCTTCTCTCACGGCCAGTTCTGGTAAGGATGGAGTTTAATGAAACCTGCAGAGAGTCCTGCAACTAGGATCTGTAGCTTTGCGGGAAGAGAAGATAGAAACAGAATCTGAGACAACTAAGTGCTGGGGGTAAAGACCTGACTTGGCTGGAGGAAAGAGCTCGAAGGCGTGCGGGCTCTGCCTGCATTCTGGGAGCCTGCTCAGCCTCCCGGTCGGAAACGAAGCCGCAGGCTCCACACTTGCGGCTCTGGACAAGCCCCGGCTGGGTACTGGCAGAGGTGAAGGTTATGTGTCGGATGACGGGGTTACGGACACGGCTTTGCCCTTGAATGGGTGAGTGTTCCTGGTAGGTCAGTTACCTAAGTTGAGCCTCAGTTTCCTGGTCAGTAAAATGGGGATAAGATTCACCCTCTGCCGCCCATTCTGGGACGTTGTGAGCTGCTAATGAGCTAATAGCTGTGAATACACCTGCTAAACAATAAAGTACTAAGTTTACATGAGATATCTGTGTCATAAGGCAGGACAGCACTCTAATGTTTGGAGAATGACAATAGGCACAGCCAGGCTGAGGTAACAGAGGGACACACGTGTCTCAGCAAGGCTTAGTGGTGCTTTGGGGCGGGGCCACTGCCTCCTCTGACTCTCCAAAGAGTGCTCATTTTGGAAAACCCGGTAGCACCAGAGACTAGAGGCAGTCTCTGCAGTGGCCCATCTGCTGACTGGGAAAGTGCTGGGACGGGGTTGGGCCAAGAGCCACGCGCACTTTCCACGGCTGGTTTGCAGAGAGCACCGTTAGCAGGCGCCAGGTCTCAAGGAGGGGTCATGAGTACATGGCAATGCTTGAAGAACCAACGACGGCTTTCAAACATCCTGTGCACAAAGCTCCTCGGTAGCACGTGGTACACACACCTCACCAAAGGCGGGGGCGGTGACTAAGTTGGCTGGCAGCGGCCGGGGCCAGGAGCCCTGGCGGAGCGGCAGCCGGCCAGGCACACGTGGCGCTTTCCCTCTGGCGGCCGGGCTGTTATCTGCTCCCCAGGAAGCCCCCGTGCCTGTTGGCCACACGCGTGCAGGAGGCGCAGCAGGCTGTCTTGTAGTAGTTGTACACACAGAGCCGTGCCTGGACCACCACGTTGCAGTTGTAGTACTTGTCCTTGCAGTTTTCGTCTGCAGCAAAGAGAAGAAAAGAGTCCCTGAGCACAGGAGGCGGCCGGGACCAAGGGAAGAGAAAGGGCAGCGGTGTGGCTGTTAGTTACCTCTGTGGTGTGAGCCTGTGCTGAGAGCCTACGGTTTTCTCTGTCTTGTAGTGTCATTATAGTGGAATTAGGCGTAGAGGATAATTCAATGAACTGGGTCCTCGCTCTTCAGTTTAAGAACAAAACATCACCAGTGTGGATACAGTCCCAGAGTTCACTCCCTAATCGCTTCCGCCTTCCTCCTCACCCCTCCAGGGGCAATGAGGGCCCAAAGTTGGTGTTTATTATCCCAAAACATTTCTTTATACTTGAACTGTACATGATGATATCTCTAACCAATCTGTGATGTTTAAACTTAAACAAAAAATGTATATTTTATATACTCCTTGGCAACTTGCTTAACAGTGGATTTGTGCAATTCATTCATGTTTAATGAACACGCCAAGCAATTCATTTTCATTATTGAATCGTATTCCCTTGTAAATATATTCCATACTTTATTTATTCATTTTCCATTAATAGGCATCTAAGTTGTTTCCAGTGTTTTTTTTTTTTTTTTTTGAGACAGAGTCTCACTCTGTTGCCTGGGCTAGAGTGCCGTGGCGTCAGCCTAGCTCACAGCAACCTCAAACTCCTGGGCTCAAGCAATCCTTCTGCCTCAGCCTCCCAAGTAGCTGGGACTACAGGCATGCACCACCATGCTTGGCTAATTTTTTCTATATATTTTTAATTAGCCAATTAATTTGTTTCTAATTTTAGTAGAAACAAGGTCTCACTCTTGCTCAGAGCTGGTCTTGAACTCCCAAGCTCAAACCATCTGCCCGCCTTGGCCTCCCAGAGTGCTAGGATTACAGGCGTAAGCCACCGTGCCCAGCCCTTGTTGTTTTTAATGGAAGAGTCTTGCTATGTGGCCCAGGCTGGCCTCAAAGTCCTGGGCTCAAATGATCCTCCTGCCTCAGCCTCCTGAGTAGCTGGGACTACTGGCGCTCCACCACTCCCAGCTACAACCCTCTTTTAAGTAATTTTGTTACACATCCTCTCTCTGGGCCTTGCTGGGTCATGAGGTACATACAACTTTACTAGGTATGATTGGTTTGCTCTCCAAAGTAGGTGTAACTACATGCCTGTTGGTGGAAGAGAAGAATTCCCTTTTCATCTTATGTTTATTTTTTACTAGTCTAGCAAATGTCCCCATGTGAGGTTGAACACATCATCATAGGTATATTTGCCATCCAAGTTTCCATTTTTATGAATTGCTTTTCCTATCCCATTTCTAACTTAGTTACAAATGATTCATGGAAATTTTTGATATAAAATGGATCTGATCTTTTGTTGGTTATATGTGTTGCAAATATCTTCTCCAGCCTGTGGTTTTTCTTATCACTTTGTTTATGGTATTGTTTGATAAACAGAGAAATTTAATTTTAATTTTAATGTAATTGACATTATAATATTTTCCTTTGTGGTTTGAAATTTTTGTTTCATTTAAAACACCCTTTCCTATTCTAAAATAAAAACTAAAATTTCCCACGTTCGCTTCTAAAAGTTTAAAATTTTTCTTTTCACATTTATTTCTCTACTACAGCGGGGTTTGGGGTGTGTGTGTGTGTGTGTGTGTGTGTGTGCATGTGATGAGAGAAAGGAATTCAATTTTATTGGTTTTTTTCATATATGTATAAATAATTGTCTCATGACCAATTGCATTGTTTTATCATTTCCCCACAGATCTGTAATGCTACCTCCATCAAATTTCAAGCATCCTTTATATACGTGAACTTATTTCTGGGCTCTCTGTTTGGTTCTGTTGGCTGATTTCTCTATCCTGGTGCCAGTATGTCTTGACGTGTGATAGCAAAAGTTCCCCAGCGTCATCAAAACCGCCTTGGCTAGTCTTGGCTCCTCACTCTTGCTCTTTTATATAAACTTTAGACACAATTTTTCTATGAAAAATCCAGATTTTGATTAACATTGCTTGAATTTATAGATTAATTTGGGAAAGAATTGACAATATCCTTCTCAGCTGCTTGCTTTTTTTGTCTTTAGATACACTTTTTTTTCTTGTCACTTTGTCTTTTGCTTTCTAGGATAGATACATTTTTGAATCATAACATCTATCACATTCTTTTTCGGGGCATCAGCATATTCTGCCAAATGTGTTCTAACATCATTGAATCATTTCCTTCTATTAATAGAAATGTAATTGCTTCCAATTTTATGAGTTACAAGAAATTATACAATTCATTTATTTATTGAGCACTACTTTTTTTTTTTTTTTTTTTTTTTTTGAGATGAAGGCTGGCCTTGAACTCCTGGGCTCAAGCAATCCTCCCACTCGGCCTCCTGAGTAGCAGGGACTACAGGTATGCCCTGGAGCATTTCTTCAGCCTCTTATGGTAGATTTGTTCACATCCTTTCATTCTTTACAAAATTGGATCACATATCGTTTTAAAAAAATTAATTAGAGTGAGCTCTCTCTGTATTAAGGATTTAACTCTTTGTTTACTTTGATGGCATTTATTTGATTTTAGGACACTATCAATTGTAAGATGATTTAGTAATGGCTTTCTAGGATAAAATGAAAGAGTTTTATAATTTATTCAGATTTAAAAAAACTGACAATTGTACACATTGACCCACATACTCACATACTATTTTCTTCTTCAACATTATAATCAAAATGTGCACCTAAGCCTTCTTTACTGTCAGAGTCTACACAGATTTTTGGTGTCAACAACCCTCCAGGATATATCCTGTGTGTCAGAACTCTGGCTAGTGCCCTGGGCATTTTTGGTAACTTTGGCTTTGACAGTATAATTTTGAGACATATCAAAAAATCCTGAGGTTTTGTCTACACTTCTTATGCTTCCTATTTTGTTAATCTCATCTTTTCCCTATTTTCCTTAGTTGGACTTTGTATTTCTAGAAGAGAAATAGTTTTTCTTTCTTGAAAAGACACCACAGACAAATGCAGGAGACAAAAAGCAAGAGTGGTAAAAAAATTTGAACCACATCATATTCATGGGCGACCTTTTGACAAAAACGTGTGGCGGTGAGCGACAGCCCTTCAGAGCACATGCATTGGTTAGACCACCATTCCCGGCTGTGAAGGTCGTACAATCACTTCCAAGGATCTGGCAGTTCTGACTGTCTTTAGCAAAGCTCTAACCAACTGAGCCAGCTAGCCACCCTATCTGACTGTCTGTAATTATATTTCCTGGTCTGAGACAGACAGGCAATTTCACGTATCTAACTTTTCAATGCTGTGTTATAATGTTATCTTTCAAAAGTTTAAGTAACAATTTGTGATCCAGATTTAAATTAAGTTTCAACTGTGTGGTGTTGCCAATGCAAATAAGTTAATGGAGGTGACAGTTTTGGTTAATGGATGAACATTTCTGTGTGCATAAACTGGCCACAGTAATTATTAATCTGTCACCATTAATTCCTGGGCTTCCTGGCTGGGCATTTTCTTCTTATATTGATTGTGACACATTCTTGTAAGGTGTGTTTCAAATATTTTCCTATCCTATCCTCTTCTTCTCCCTCTCTGTTCTCCCCTTTCTTCCTTTATTCCAACTTGGGTTATGATGTCCTTAACAGGAGAAACAGTTTAAATTTATTATATTCTCACAGTAAGCAATACAGCCTCTGGGTTTTGGGTCTAGCTTACAAAGGATTTCACTGACTCCAAGATATTTATTTTTTCAAGCATTTTTTTCCGAGTATTTTCTCCATTAGGATCTTTAATCCATTGGACATTTGTATCATTTGTATATGGTATAATGAAAGATTTAGGTTTTTTTCCCTTCAAAATGGATCTTCAATGGTCTCTATACAATGGAAGTGCCTCCTTTCTCTACTTGTTTGACATTCAACCTTTATCGGACTTAACTTCCCTTGTCTAAAGAATGTTCAGAATTCTGTATTGTGACACTGGTATGTCATTTCTGCCTGTGTCAGCACCGTATAGCTTTAGTTTCTGAAGCTTTACATGTCAGATATATGGCACTTACAGCTCCCCTCGGGAACCGTCTTTTATCGTCGTTACAACATCGAGTGTTTCTCTCCAGGAACATGTTAGCGCCTCTATCCACATTTCCTCTATGTTCTACAGCAAGATTTTTAATTTTTAATTATTTATTTTTCTACCTAGGTCTCATATACTCCTTGTTAATTTTCTTCCTATGGAATTTACATTTTTCAGTTGCTACTGGGAATGGCCATCTCCATGATATTTGCTTGCCAGTCATTGCGCTTGGTTAGAAAGCATCTGTTCTGTGACTGGCAGATCTTCCCTGGGATAGGGAGGATGTTGGGTCAATACACTAAAAGCTTTGATTTGGCCCACAGCAGGAGGAATCTATTGCATGACAGCTTATTGATATATTAATGTTTCCTTTGATGTGAGGACAAGGAAAGTAAATCAGTTCTTAGAAGACCGTGAAGAATTCTAATAAAGAGACTTAGCACGCTTCTAGTCTGCAACCAGCCCCGACCACGCCTGGTGGCATATTCTCAGAAGACTTGGGATGGCGTTTGGGGGCATCCAATATGCCTCTGGAGAGGCATCTTCACCCACCTGACGCTTCCTCTCTTTGTGCAAGGCACCATCTTTGATTTTTCGGCCGTACTTCAGTTCCCCTGCTGGGATAGGGTCCCTGCTGTGAACTGCAGCCCACTAGAGGCCTAACCTCCCTCACTCTCACCAACGCCTTCCTTTGGGAAACTGGCCCGTTTCAAGGCTGCAGGCTGGGGTCTTTTGAATTGCAAAGCTGCCATTCCTTGCAGGACCCTGACTGTTGTGTAGCCTAGATCTTCCTGCTGTCACTCCAACCCTTGAGTCACTGTGTCCCCCTGGACTCAGAGCCTGCACTATGCCCCTCAGATGTGTGGTCAGACTCCCCATCACTGTCTCTACCCTTTCTGGGGCCTTCTCCCCCTTCCTCCCTTCTCTGCCACCCGCTGCTGAGGTCCCAGCGTCTCCTCACGTGGTCCAGCTTATACCAGTTTGCACGTACAATTAAAAGTTGAAATTTTACTACTTTGACCTCAAGGATGATAGAGCCTTTGAATGCAATCTTTGAATGTATTTTACCATCTTAATTAATTCACACTGAAGTTTGTCTTTTGGTGGGTGGCTTAGCTAACCACTGTGCTATGAATGGTTGTTGATCTTAAACTATGAAACTGATAATACCAAAAGCACTTTGACCCTCTGAACTCCAGGACAGTGCACAAGGTCACGGAGAGGCCTAGATGGGTTTGGGACTTTTACACCAGACAACTGGACAGAGCTTAAGGCAGATGGATCTTTTCTCCAAGGTCAGAATCCCTACTTACCGACTTCAGGGACACAGTCCTGAGGGTTACACGATTCTCTCTCTTCTGGTTTCAACTGAAGGTCACAGAGATTACTTAGGGTCATGTCATCAGACAGACACCGCACCTCCCGAACCCGGAAGCCGCCCTGGCAGCTCTTGGAGCACTGCACGGGAACAAAGGGAAAAGTCTGATTTCTTGGCAGACTGATAGCTCAGTGCACAGGAGGGGAAGACACTGGAAAATTTCAACATCTCCAAAGGAGATAGACCATTACAACAACCCCCCACGCACCTGCCAACCAGCTTCACCCACGAGCCACTCACGGCCGGGTGCGTCCCATCTATACCCCAGACACTCCCATTCCTCCCACTATTTTAAAGCAAATCTAGACATCATATCACTTCGTCCATATTATTTTAGTTTGTGGCTCTGAAAGACAAAATACCATTATTATATCTAGAAATTAATAATAGTTTCTTATTATCTTCAAATATAGATTCAGTGCTCCTAATTCGACTAGTCTCATGAATCCTACAGATTTTTAAATGCAGGGTTTTTTCCTTTAAAAATCAGGATCTACATCAGGTTTGCACATGGCAGTTGCCTGATGTCTTTTATGACTCTTTCAGTCCACAGGTTTCCCCGCCACTGTCTTTTTCCCTCTTGCACTTAGAGCTGAGTCATTTGTTCTACAGAGTTTCTCATAGTCTGGATTTTGCTGACTGTATCCCCATGGTGTAGTTTAACACGTTCCTCTGTTCTCTGTATTTCCCGAATGCTGGAACTTGGATCTAGAAAAGGCTTTAACAGGTGCAGGTTATTTATTTATTTATTTGAGACAGAGTCTCACTCTGTCCCCTGGCTAGAGTGCAGTGGCATCATCATAGCTCACAGCAGCCTCAAACTCCTGGGGTCAAGCGATCCTCCTGCCTCAGCCTCCCTAGTAGCTGAGACTACAGGTGCACACTGCCACACCTGACTAATTTTTCTATTTTTAGTAGAGATGGGGTCACACTCTAGCTCAGGCTGGTTTTGAACTCCTGAGCTTAAGCAGTCCTCCTGCCTTGGCCTCCCTCAGCGCTAGGATTACAGGCATGAGCCACTGCACCTGGGACAGGTGCAGGTTTAATTTTTTTTTTTTTTTTTTTTTTACAGCAGGCTGTCTCTTTTTTGGTGATGTTAGTGGCCACTGATGTGCAATGCTCAGATCCGTTAGTTCATTTGGGGTGGAAAATGGTAGTGTTATAATTCTATCATTCCGTCTTTTATTAGCTAGAACTCTTTTATAAAGAATCCTCCCCCTGCCACCTTTACTCCTTGGCTACCCAGTGGTATGGTTGGTTTCAGGAAGGCAGGGCACACGCTGATTCTTTCCCTTCACCCACCAGTGTTCAGAATAATGAGTTGGTTCCCTAACATCTGGTAATGACAACCTATTAGTTTTTTAAATGAATTATTATAAACTAATTATAAACAGATGGATTTAAACATCCATTATATAATAATAAATATTCAATAATAGATAATATTTATTATTCTTACTGATGCTCAAACTGTCACATCAATGGCTAGCAGGAACTGCAAAAAGTTGTCTCTGAGTCCTTGTGACATAAACTCCATTGTCTTTGAGAACTTGCTTGCTGCCTGGTATGCAGAGATGTTCCAACCTAACTTTTACACGTGCTGTCCCAGGTCTGGAACCAGCTGCCTTCTCTGAATCGCTGGTTCCTTTGAGTGGAGGGTGGCCTTTCAGCGCCACATTCTGGATGATTTGTGCCCTTTGCCTCTGGGTTGGTGTTTAGGGTTTTAGGCTCGTTTGGCCATCAGTCCTCTACAGCAGCATGTTTCCAAATGTGGTCCAAGGACACCCGCACCCAACTCACCTCAGGAGCTTGTTAAAAATGCAAATTCCTTGGCCAGGATAGACCCAGAGTTGGTCTTTTCAAACAAGATCCCTAGATGAATTTTATGCACACTGAGCCACCGTTTTATGGCCTTTACAATTTAGAAACCAAGGCCATCCAACCTCAGGCTCCCTGACCACGCAGGCTAGGCCAGGGAGCGCCCCAGGACGGCTGTCTCGAGTGGACTGCCGCAGGCTCCCCTCTAGGGCTGAGCCCAGCGCCTGGCCCAGGGGCATCTACGGGAGGACAGCGGGGGAGCCGTGTGCTAGTGCAGTCTCCACCAAGGGCGCCAGGACTTACCATGCTCCATTCTGTGTGAAACCATTTGGCTCCGCAGGGCTTGAGGTGGCAGGATTGCTGGCTGGGCGGCCTCTCCAGGAAAGAGCATTCATAGGGGTCTAGCACTTCAAAGGTGTCTGCGTTCTTCTTGACACAAATCACCTCCCTCTGTTGCGTCCCACTCCCACACTCCATGGAACACTGGGGAAGGCGGCAGAGAAAGATGGGTGCCATGTGACGGAAAGGGGGTGACAACTACTGTCTATCAGGGATGTGCATGAAGGACATCAGCAACTCCAGCACTGACTCAGTGAGGGAGAGCCAAGGCGGCCTGGGACAAGCTGCTGGAGGACAAGGTGCGTGTGGATTCTAGCTTTCCCGGCAGTTCTGTCTCCAGAGTGGAGAGTAGGTGCCCTGAGCTGTCATGCCTTTAGGGTGCTGGTCAGTAAGATCACGTTGCCTCCTGTGCTGAGAGTGAAATAGTTTCCCTTAAACTCCCCTAACGGGGACACGCCAGCCAGTTAATTTGGTTGTTTCTGTCCAGTAGACTCTGAGACCTCAGAGGTGTTAAAACAATGAATTGACATCTGGTTTCATTTCTATTCTCCTAGGGGATGGATGCTGTGAGTGAACGAGCCTCTCAGAGCCTGCACACCTGTGGATGAGGGGCTAATTAAAGTTCTTTGAACACAAAAAGCCGAGAAGAAGACCTAGGCTTGGGATCATGTCCCCTTCCAACAAGGAGGTCAGCAGGAACTTTCACCCGGGAGCGTAATCCGCTTGTCTGCTGACATGGTGCTGGGTGGGCACGCGGGGCGGTGCCACAAAGGGGCAAGTTCGTGTGTGGGTGCACTTTGTTAGCTCATAGAAATACAATGTATGTGACTGTCTGCTCATAAATTATCCACCTAGTATATATGACTTTATAAAATGTTTTTTGCTCATGTTTGGTTTACTCAATACTTTTTGATTAAAAAATTCTAAAGCTGTGATCTATATACTTTTCTAGACTGTAACCAATCTGCTACTTTCATGAAAAGCTTGTAACAATGTGCAATGTTGAAACTCTGAATACTAGCATTGCTGTCTGTATGCACATAATCCAATAAAAATAGAGGGACAGAAAAACATCTATAAACAGAAAAAAAAAAAAATCAGGAAACTCCCAAACCAACAAATGATGCATCGGTCACACAGGCTGTCAATAAGCTTAGGCTGCCACTGTCAGCAGTTGGAGCTTTGTGCCTTCTTCATTTTCATCTTCATGATGTCCAGAAAGCCACAAGATTTCTTAGTCTGTTTTCCTATTTTCTCCCATATTAGTTTATGAGTCGATTTGGAGTGTATTCATGTTTTGTCCCTCTCCTCCCGGTGCTGCAGTCAGTGGAGGGGTCAGAGGTAGGACAGACGCAACGGCTGCGCAGGCACAGGTCTGGCCTCCCTGCAGCAGAGGCGGGGTGCGTGCGGGCGGGTGCGTGCGGGCGGGTGCGTGGCCGGGGCGGCACACTGCACTGTCAGGGCTCGTGGAAACCCCGCTAGCTCTGCGTCCCCGCCCTAGACGCTGCCTCCACCCAGGTCTCTGTTGTCCCACCTGCAAAGTCAAGGGTTTGGGAACGTAATCTGAAAGACCCTCAATGCTCTGAGATTCTACACCTGTGCTGCGTGCTTGGCAGAACAGCAGACTGCAAACCTTGGGCAAAACCCGAAGTTCTCTTCTGCCACTTTCGGATAGTCCTTGAAGAGATGAGGCAATTAAGGGAGAATGAGCGAGTCTCAGCCTTCTCCAACTGCACGTGCCTGGAAATGGCAGAATACGTCTGTCTGGGAATAAGTGAATCGGTGTGTGTGTGTGTGCGTGCATGCAAGAGACAGCACTGAAAACAGTAAAGGGCACTCACTCATCCTTGGTGGGCCAGAAATTATGGGGAATCTTTGAAGGGTGAAAGACAGTTGAGACCAAATCGAAGGAGGAAACCATAGTCCGAAATGCACACAGAGGAGGACCCCTAGCCAAGAGGGAGCAGCTCAGGTGCTTCAGGCGAGATTGGTGGTGGACATGAAGATCAGGAGGGAGGCTCAGGGCAAAAAGTGGTCAGGTGAGTCACTGCCCAGCAGCAGCCGGGCTGGCCTGACTGTGCCCAGGAGGAGGAAGCAAAGAGGCATCTGCCCTACCTGGAAAATTCACATGGAAGTGCAAAGTGAAGTCATTTCCAGATATTCAAAGGCCCAGAATATTCAAAAAGCCACCCACCAAAAGACAAACTTCAGTGTGAATTAATTAAGACAGTAATACATTCAAAGATTGCATTCAAAGGCTCTATCATCCTTGAGGTCAAAGTAGTAAAATTTCAACTTTTAATTGTACGTGCAAACTGGTATAAGCTGGACCACGTGAGGAGACGCTGGGACCTCAGCAGCGGGTGGCAGAGAAGGGAGGAAGGGGGAGAAGGCCCCAGAAAGGGTAGAGACAGTGATGGGGAGTCTGACCTCATTCTGGGCCTTTGAATCCTATTTGAAAGACTTACTGGGTTATGGTCTCTAACAAAGTGAAAAGACAAAACAAAACAAAACAAAAAACCAGGAAGAAAACACAGAACACAAAAGCAGAAGTTGGTAAAGACACCAGTAAAGGATGATTAATAATGGACATTAATAATGGGTACTGGGTTTCTTTCTGGAATGATGAAAATGCTCTGGAATTAATGCTGATGGTTGCACAACTTTGTGCATATACTAAAAAACACCAAGTTGTAGACTTTAAAAGGGTGAATTTGATAGCACGTGAATTATATTTCAATAAAAAATGACCTTTTGGGGGAGGAGAAAAAGCTATTTAAAAATTTAAATCAGCATTTTCTATAAAATTTTTTAATGTTAATCTGTAGCTAAATCCAGATGATTTCAACATTTTTAGAGGTATTGTAGATTGAGAGAGTGGAAGTAAATAAAAAGGGGAAGTCTTCTGTTTTCTTTTATTTCTTTTTGAGACAGGGTCTCACTCGGTTGCCTGGGCTGTGATGCAGTGGTGTCATCATAGTTCACTGCAGCCTTGAACTCTGGGGCTCAAGTAATTCTCTTGCCTCAGCCTCCCTGGTATCTGGGACTGCAGGCATGTGCCACCAGCACCACCAGCTGTTTGCTTTTTAATTTTAATTTTTGTAGAGACCAGATCTTGCTATGTTGCCCAGTCTGGTCTCAAATTCCTGGCTGTATGTGATCCTCCTGCCTCGGCTCCCAAAGTGCAAGGATTATAGCTGTGAACCACCAAGCCCTGTTTCTTCTATTTTCTTATAGGAGAGGATGTGATTACTGATAACTTGACACAGACGGAAAAATAAAAGTTTAAAACTTTGTGCTAAAAATTTGAGTGTTATCACTAGAAGAATAAACATAGAATTTATAACTTCCAAAATCTCAGATGGGAATAATGGATTTAAGAAAACCTGACTACCCAGACTGTGGTTCAGAAAGAAAAAAAGAAAATCAAAAAAAGAAAACCTGACTAATACCAATGCATAGAAAGGAAAGAAGAAAGAAACATAAAAGCATGGCAACAGAGAATACAAAATAAGATGGCACGGAAAAGTCCAAAGTGATTACAATAAATATAAATGGTTAAAATTTAACTCTTAAAATATAGAGACTTATAGATTAGGTAAAAATAAAAGCAAAAATAGTCCTGCATATAAAAGACATACCTTAAAAATACATAGAAAGTTTGAAAATTAATAAATTGACAAAGATGCACCAGGTGAAAATCAACAATGAGAAATCAGATGGAGTAATGCAAATATCAGATCAAGTATAATTCATGGAGAAAAGCACAGAAGACAAAAAGTAATATTTAATAAGGATAAACGCTTCCAGTGAGAAGTAATGGCAATTACACATGTTTCTGCACCTAAAGAATTCTTGAAGCTGCACTTTGGTGGATTATTGATCCAAGACCAGATGAGAATGAAAGTATCTACTCAGATGCCAGTGAGAATAATGTGATCCAGACCCACAGGCAGACAAGATAGCTGCTCTTGATGACTGGAGACTATGAAAGACCTCCCCAGAACCAAGACAATATAAGGTTGAAGTAAACCCAGAATTGACAGAGAAGCAGGGAGACAATTCTGGGCATAAATAATGGACTTGGAAGAATACCTTATGAATAAGAGTTGGGCTACCTTGGCTCTGGAGTAGAAAAAGACCCCTAAGCTTCATACGTTCCTAGCTGGGTTCCAGGGATCTGGGGAGCAGCAGAAAAATAATGTTTTCCTTTATTGGTATGGTTAGAAACACTCTAAAGCCATAAATCTCTGTCTCTGCCTCTCTCTGGACTTAGGTATCCTTCTCTGAGGCCGGCTTCTGCACAAGCCTCAGTATGGCCACTGCTAGCACCTGTGCTCAAACTTCCTAGTGAGTCTCTTCCACAAAACCCAAGTGAAAGTCCCAGGGGAGGCTCTGTTTGGCTCAGTTTGGGTCGCATGTCCACTCCTGGACTAATTACTCTGACAGGCTGGTGGGGGCTCAAGATGCCATTTTTCATTCAAAGCATATGGTTGGAAGAACATTTATTTTTACATTCTGAAGCCAGTAATGTTTAAAACTTACCTTTTAAGAAATAAGCAAGCTCTATTTCATTTTCTTTGAGGATTATGTTAAATCCCAGGGTAGGGAGTTGCCAGCAAGATCCAATATTCTTATAAAACCAGAACCAAAACCTTGCCCGCATTCAATTGTGTCCTGACCCTTTTGAACAATAAATCAATCTCTTGACAAGGGCAATAAATCAATCTCTTGACAAGGGCAATAAATCCCTAGTTTCTAATCTTAGCAGAAATAAAGCCTGCCTTCACCAGGGTTCATACTCTTAGTTCTCTGAGTTTAAGTCTCAAGTCAACAGGAGGCCCACAAGCTAAAACAGGCCCCGAGCTCCTGCACCCCTATCCTCTTCTGAGAAACGCAGACATGAGTTCAACTGTCCTGCTTGTCTTCACATGTGTGACCGCTATGATCTGATACTGAGATTTCACATGGGACTCTTCCCGTTGTCTCTGTTTCCATGGATATTTGGTATAACGGGTGTCCCAAACACAATCCCCGCTGAATTATCTTTGGGGTTTAGGTCCTAGGTGTTTTGCTACCAATATTGAGATAGAAACAGCTGGCAGAAAAAAAATGTATAAACATGGAGAGAAGGGGACTGATATGTATTCTTTCTCATGGCTGAAGCAATGGGGAATCCCCTGTATGTAGAGCATCCTGTGAAAACTCATCACAACCCTAGGAGGTTATTATTATCCTCATATTTGGATGAGGCTCAGAGAGGTTAAATTTCTCACCCCAAGCTAGAAAACTACTGAGAAGTAGAGTCGGGATCAGTTATCAAACGAGTCTAACTTTGATATTGGCCCAAGTAGCGTTGGAAGTACCTGAATTCTCTTTCTTTATGAGTTCTCTATGTTTTACAGGTTGTATTATAAAAACATTAAAGGAAATTTGAAGAGAAAATATTTCCCCATGCTGTTTACATTTAAAAACCTATATTTTGAAGTGGTTGAGACCATAGGGTTCATATATTTTCATATTCTATATTCACTTGCTGTTATACCATATACACATTTCACATCTTCCTAATGATCACTGTGGTTGTTGCATAATATTTTACTGAATTATGATATACCATAATATTCCTAATCATCCTGTTGTCATGAACATCTCTGTTGAAAAAGCCTTTTTTTCTTCTGTTAATTGTTCCCTTCAAATGAACTCCCAGGAGTGGGGTGACTGGGTTAAGGCAAATGACCATCTTTATGGTTCTTGACTTTTAGGGCCAAATTGCTTTCCAAAGGGCTTGTATCACTTTACAGTCCATATTTGCAGGCTCTGTTTTTAAAGCTACTTAAAAGAAATAAAACTCTATATGGAGCCAGAGGTCTGATAATGTGTGAGTCAGGCTCATGCGCCAACGAGGGCCTGGGGAAGCGGCCAGCCCTGGGAGCCGAACGCTGAGTGGCCCAAGACCTCAAGCCCCGGTGGCAGTCACGCCAGGACAGTAGCTTCCACATGTTCTTGGGGGGTTCACGTTCAATTTTGGAAAAGTGAGGGAAAAATCAATTCCTCCATGAAGTTACTCCATTAACGTGTTATCTCAGCATTCCTCATTCTTTATAATGAACAACTCCAAATTTTAAGCTTTCTGCTTCTGACACTGCGGAGAGGCCAGCGGCTGCAGTACCCGCAGCTGCCGCTCCCTGTGCTCGCTGTGCGTGGGGCACAGGCCGGCGCTCCGTGTCCACGTGCAGGCTCTCCTAAGGTAGCCCAGGCCTTCTGTAGGCGAGGCAGCCGTGCCAGACCACAGGTCCCCAGGGCGGGGACGTCTGCTTTGTGCCCACGCAGCCGGGGTGTAGGTGAGCACGCACACGGTGCTCAGTGAATATTACTGACTGGCTGAGGTTGCAAGGCGTGAGTAGCTTCTCCACGGTCACGGGCAGCCCATCGCACGGCTGGAGCCACAGTGGGGACACTCGACACAGAGCGCCGGTTCCTGACCCCTTTGCAGCACTGCCTCTTGCCAGGGACAGACAGACACACCGGTGCTGGCCACTCACCTGACTCCAGCTCCCAGCAAACCACTCCACCTTGCCCGCGCAGGGCCCGTTGTCACACGGGGTGGCCTCGGCCGGCCGGTTGTTCCCACAGCCCTCCAGGGGCAGGCTGCTGACGTGGTTGGTCATGCACACGACCGCGCGCGTGCGCACTCCCGCGCCGCACTCCGTGGAGCACTGCGGGACAGGAGGGGCGCGTTAGTGGGGAGGCCTCCGCAGTGCTCGAGCCACTTTCAAATGACGCAAAGGAGGACGGAACACCTCCTCTCCCTGCCATGTCTTATACCTGACAACTTCTCAGGCAGAGCCTACTCCGGTACAGGCTATCAGTAGGGCAGCCCCTGTCCTAGATTTCCTGGGGTGGCTGCGTTCCAAATAGCCCGTCCTGCTGCTGTGATGAAGACACGTATTCTTGTCAGACTATCTTTGTCTGCTTTTGCTTTCAAAAATACATTCATATGAGAAAAATGAATGCACAAAAACTTAGGCACATGTCTACCTGCTTGTAGCTAGTCTGGGCTGAGCTGGGAAAGGAGCCGAACTGAAGGTGTCACCTCAACATTGCTGCCTGATATTAAGGCAAACAGCTCCAGTCCCGAAGGCCACAGCTGTGAGAGTGTGGGTAGCACCTGGGTGGAGGGGGAGCTTGCCTTGGAACCAGGTACAATAAATCTAAATGGTTAAAATTTAACTCTTAAAATACAGAGACTTATAGAAAGACTTATATAGTACCCCTACTACACTAACTCTCACAATACAGAGACTTATATAGTACCCCTACAATACTAACTGTTAGGCTGGGTGTGGTGGCTCATGCCTGTAATCCTAGCACTCTGGGAGGCTGAGGCGGGTGGATTGCTCAAGGTCAGGAGTTCGAAACCAGCCTGAGCAAGAGCAAGACCCTGTCTCTACTATAAATAGAAAGAAATTAATTGGCCAACTAATATATACATAGAAAAAATTAGCCAGGCATGGTGGTGCATGCCTGTAGTCCCAGCTACTCGGGAGGCTGAGGCAGCAGGATTGCTTGAACCCAGGAGTTTGAGGTTGCTGTGAGCTAGGCTGACACAGGGCACTCACTCTAGCCTGGGCAACAAAGCAAGACTGTCTCAAAATAAAATAAAAATACTAACTCTTAAAATACAGAGACTTATATAGTACCTCTATTGGCTATGTGGCCTGGGACAGGAGACCTTTGTCATGCTCACGTGGACAAAGGCATAGGAACATTCCTGGCAGGATGACAGATATGAATGATGTGCTTTGCAGACAGTGGGTCTCAGTACGTGCTACGAGAGGCTTTGCAAGTCAACTCCTACATCCCTGCTCTAAGACGGAGAAACTAAGGCTTCACTTAAGGCCACGTAACTGTTGGTGGTTTCCCCCACTACAGTCACACTCTGTCCTCACTGGTACACAGAGAAACATGCCCCAGTCATCCCCAGAGCTCACAGAGCATTTCCCATCTGTCTGGAAATACTTTGGAACGCTGCCTTATTTTCTTCTTATCCCGTTACCAACATTTTCTGGACTCCTCAGCTGGGAGGCCCGAAGATGCACCCAGCACGTATGTCTTCCCACCATCACTGCTCCTCCCCACGGCCTTCCAAGCTCTGTTCGGGTTTCTACCTGGGCTTGAAAACTGTTCTTCTGCCTTCATGCTTCAACATCTAGTTTCGTGATTCTAGTTTAGCCACATTTCTCCAACCTGTCCTGCCCCTTTCCGCCGTGGTTCCAGCACCGCTCGCTTTCTGCCCCTGGATTATGGTGGCGGCTTCTGGCTCAGACTCACCGGCTTGCCTAACGCATGGGGCTCCCAGGTATTGAGAGCTCCATGCTGAACATGACCTCTGAAGCCATCCCATTCCTCATTTGCACACGGACTTCCCCAACTGGCAATAAAGGTTTCCTATGGCATGGCCCCAGTCAACCCATTCTTCTAGGCTAAGTTCCCATTGTTCTATCCCACTCACCTCATGATGGACAGACCCAGAGTGGCCACTACCTCCTCATCATACGAAATGCTCACAGAGCCCTTGCCTGTGCTGTTTCCTCTGCCTGGAACGCCCCTTTCCTTCCGCTGGACACGTAAGAATCCCTTAAGGCTCGGATCAAATGCCATCTCCTCTACGAACACGTCCTCGATTGCCCAGTTCAATATACTCCTTCCAGCCTTAGAAGGAGCTATCCCTTCCCACGGCACTCTATGTTCTGCTTTCTCCCTTGGTACTGTGGTTATTTGTGTTATTTATTTTTCTCTATGGAAGTAGGCTTCGTGGGAGCAGGGACTGTTCAATTGTCTTTATTCCTTCTCGGCCAGCGCCCTACTCATGAGTGGATCCATGAATATCAGTTGAATTAATGAATGTAGACTTGGGCCCTCCCTTGGTCATTTCTCTTATCAGCACCTTCCAGTCCTAGAAGTGGCCCTGTTAGCACATGTCAAAAGCCCATTCTAAGGGTTTCTGGGTCTTCTCTTAAAGACAGAGTCGATCTTGGGTGGAGAAAAGGCAATATATGTAACATAAACATTTGTACTCCTGTAATATGTTGAAATAAAAAATATTTAAAAAAACCAGAGTCAATGTCTGAGTTCTACCAATATTACCATTTTAAGACATAAAAGCAACAGAATATTTTTTGCCCAGTATGATCTGCAGAAAATCAATAGAATTTGCTTTCTCAAATAAAATTTGAGAAAAGGATAAAAATCCTTATACTCCTTATCAAAATTTCCATTTTCATTTTTGTATGCTGCTATCTAGTCCTGTGAATCATAGCCCAGTATGAGTGAGCAAATATTTGCAACACCACTGCTGACCTAGGCCTAACTCCTCAGGGAGGAAACCCCCCCCTGGGGCAAAGGGCTTGAAAGGGATCACGACATGCCACCCCAAAATATGCTGCTTTGGCACACTGATTATTCCGAGCTGAAGGCAACTGACATACAGCAGATGCAGGAAGGGCTCTCTGCCTCTGTCTTTCTGCCTAAAAGCAGGACATAAATTTCCTGTGAGAAAGGTGCCCTCCCAGTACCAAGAAGAAAAGAACATTCTTATATCCAGACGTGGGGAGTTGACTCAGAGATGAGTCTGCACAAATAAACCTTAGTAAAATAATCTTTATCTTCTATTAGTTCTCCCATATAGTTCTTAGTCACTTTCTCATAGTCCACTGCCCGTAAAAGCCCCAACCCCTTTCCTTTGTCTAATCACTTCTCCACAATTTATGACTCTTTGTTAAAGTGGTATATAAGCCCTCGAGCCCACACACTCACTTCTTTAGGGTTTTCACTTCTTTCCTGAGAAGCTCCCTGTGCTACATAAAAATATTAACATCAGATAAAATTGATGCTTTCCTCCTACTAATCTTTTGTCAGCTTAATTCACAGGCTGCAGCCAAAGAACCTAAGAAGGGAGAGCGAAGTTTTTCCTCCCTTATAGGTTTACATGCACTTTTCATGACTTTTGCTTTATTTGCATTGTTATTAGAAATCTGAGACAATGTAACAGTCCCTTAGATTAAAAATACTTTGTTGTAATAATTGGACTGGTCTAGGCTAAAAGGATTTTGTTTTCAGCCATGTAAGATCTGGTCTTCTTCCTAACCTTAAAACTCAAGATATTTAAATTCTCTTGTAAAGAATACAGGTCAAAAGAAAAATCTCTAATAAGCTCAATCAGAAACAATATAGGAGAGATTACAACTGATGCCACAGAGATGTAAGATATAATTTATGAATACTACAAAAACCTCTATGCACACAAACTGGAAAATGCGGAGGAAATGGACAATTTCTTAAGAAAAACACAGCCTCCCTAGGCTCAACCAGGAAGAAATAGAATTCCTGAACAGACCAATATCAAGTACTGAAATTGAAACAGCAATTAAAAGCCTTCCTAAAAAGAAAAGTCCTGGACCAGATGGTTTCACACCCAAATTTTACCACACCTACAAAGAAGAACTGGTGCCTATCCTGCAGAAATTATTCCACAACATCGAGAAGGATGGAATTCTCCCCAACACATTTTATGAAGTGAACATAACCCTGATACCCAAACCAGGAAAGGATGCAACAAAAAAGAAAACTACAGACCAATATCCCTTATGAATATAGATGCAAAAATTCTCAACAAAATCCTAGCCAATCGAATCCAGGTGCTTGTCAAGAAAATAATTCATCACAACCAAGTGGGCATCATCCCAGGGATGCAGGGATGGTTCAACATATGCAAATCTATAAATGTAATTCACCATATAAACAGAAGCAAAACAACAACCATATGATCCTCTCAATAGACGCAGGGAAAGCATTTGACAAAATTTAACACCCTTATATGATAAGAACACTCAACAAAATAGGCATAGACGGGGCTTACCTAAAAATGATACAAGCCATATATGACAAACCCATAGCCAATATCATAGTGAATGGGGATAAATTGAAAGCATTCCCACTTAGAACTGGAACAAGACAAGGTTGCCCACTATCTCCACTTCTGTTCAACACAATACTGGAAATCCTCGCTACAGCAATTAGACAAGAGAGTGGAATTAAGGGCGTCCAAATGGGAGCAGAAGAGATCAAACTCTCACTCTTTGCTGGTGACATGATATTATACCTAGAAAACCCCAAGGATTCAACCATGAGACTCCTTGATCTGATAATGAATTTGGTAAAGTCTCAGGATACAAAATCAATACACAGAAATCAGAGGCATTCATATATACCAACAACAGTAAAAGTGAGAACCAAATTAAAGACTCAATTCCCTTCAAAATAGCAACAAAGAAAATAAAGTACCTTGGAATATATTTAACTAAGGAGGTAAAAGACCTCTATGGGGAGAACCATGAAACACCGAAGAAGGAAATAGCAGAGGATGTAAACAGACGGAAGAATATACGGTGCTCGTGGGTCGGCAGAATCAACATTGTTAAAATGTCTATACTACCCAAAGTGACCTACAGAGTCAACATAATCGCTATCAAAATACCATCATCATTTTTCACAAATATAGAAAAAATAATTTTATACTCCATATGGAACCGAGAAGACCACGTACAGCAAAATCAATCCTAGGCAACAAAAACAAAATAGGAGGTATCAATTTATCAGACTTCAAACTATACTACAAGGCTATAGTAATTAAAACAGCTTGGGACTGGCACAAGAACAGGGACATTGACCAGTGGAACAGAACAGAGAACCCAGATATAAAACCATCCTCATATAGCCAACTAATCTTCGACAAGCAGACAAAAACATACACTGGGGGAAAGAATCCTTATTCAATAAATGGTGCTGGGCAAACTGGATAGCCACATGTAGAAGACTGAAACAAGACCCACACCTTTCTCCTCTCACAAAAATCAACTCACGCTGGGTAACAGACTTGAACCTTAGGTGTGAAACTGTTAGAATTCTAGAGGAAAAGGTTGGAAATACTCTTTGAGACATTGGCCTAGGCAAAGAATTTATGAAGAAGACCCCAAAGGCAATCACAATAGCAACAAAAATAAATAAATGGGACCTGATCAAATTAAAAAGCTTCTGCACAGCCCAAGAAACTGTCAAGGGAGCAAACAGACAACCCACAGAATAGGAGAAAATTTCTGCAAGCTACACATCTGATAAAGGGCTGACAACTAGAATCTATTTAGAACTCAGGAAAATCAGCAAGAAAAAATCAAACAACCCTATCAAAAAATGGGCAAAGGACATGAACAGAAACTTCTTGAAAGAAGACAGAATTATGGCCAACAAATGTGAAAAAATGTTCAACATCTCTAATAATCAGGGAAATACAAATCAAAACCACAATGAGATATCACTTAACTCCAGTGAGAATGGCCTTTATCAAAAAGTCCCCAAACAAGAAATGCTGGCGTGGATGCGGAGAGAGAGGAACACTCCTACACTGCTGGTGGGACTGCAAACTAGTTCAACCTCTGTGGAAAGCAATATAGAGATACCTTAAAGTGATACAAGTGGATCTACCTTTGACCCAGAAATTCCACTACTGGGCATCTACCCAAAAGATCAAAAGTCACTTTATGAAAAAAACACCTGCACTCGAATGTTTATAGCAGCACAATTCACAATTACAAAGCTGTGGAAACAACCCAAGTGCCCATCAATTCATGAGTGGTTTAATAAAATGTGGTATATGTATACCATGGAGTACTACTCAGCTTTAAGAAACAATGGTGATCTAGCACCTCTTGTATTTTTCTGGATAGAGCTGGAACCCATTCTACTAAGTGAAGTACCTCAAGAATGGAAAAACAAGCACCACATGTACTCACCAGCAAACTGGTATTAACGGATCAACACCTAAGTGGACATATAGGAGTAACATTTATTGGGTGTCGGGATGGTGGGGGGTGGAGGAGGGGATGGGTATATACAACTACAAAGAGTAAGATGTGCACCGTTTGGGGGATGGAAGCTCTTACTCGAGGGGGGAGGGGGGCATGGGCAATATATGTAACCTTAACACTTGTACCCCCATAATACGCTAAAATAAATAAAAAAAGGTCTACAGGAAATATTAAAACCAAAAAAAAAATAAAAATAAAAATAAAAAAAAAGAATACAGGGCAAAGTGAATCTCAGTTATCTTCGTATTTCAAGCCCTATGGATATTCTCTCTAGGGAATTTCCATCTGACTTGCTAACTTAATTTTCTGCTTTCCAAACCTAGTCATGCACATGCATCTGGGGAAATTTTTCCATATTCCCATGTGCTTAACAGAAGAATGTTAAGGACCCTGTGTTCCTCACGGCAGCGCCCAGTGAGAGGACATCACATGAACAGGGCCCACAGAGGAGCTTCACTTTGTCACTTCAACTGCAGCAAAAAGCACAACAAATTTAACCGTGAAAGGAGCTGCCCACACGGGACCCGGCCCAGCTAGCCCATCAGCAGAGATGAGGGGTAGCAGAGACCAACCTTCAGAGTAAGGCACCAAAGCACACCCACTCCCTGTCCTTGAGGGATGTTCCTAAAAGGACCACATCTGCTTTGGTGGGCAGAAAAGGACCTCACTCCTAATTGAGCTTCTGGGCTGATAAAACACAACAACGCGTGGAGCCCTAGCGCCCTCTGGTGAGGAGTGCCTTCCACCTCCAGCAACACTTAAATGCTAGACTGACCTCACTGGCCCCTGAGAGACTGTAAGGCCCTAATGACCAACCTTGAACTTCAGTTTTATGCACCATCTTCTGTCATTTAAATTATTCAATATTTTTTCTTATTTTTTCCTTGGAAATCTTCCTTAGAAATTAGATGTTACAAATCTGAAGCTGGTGGACTTTCTAAAAGTTTTTTTTCTGTTGTGATTAAAAATTGCACATGTGTTTAAACCTGTCATTGAAAAACCAATGATGCTTACATCCATCCAGTAAGGTCCACCTGCAATTAAAAGTAACTGAAAAGATATTTTTAAGGTGAGTCATTAAGCCAGAGAACTTTATAGCCCTGGAAGTTTAAGAGAAGATTCAGATTGGGGTTACAACCTCAGTTCACTTAAATAGAGATTAATTAATTTTAAATTGGGCAATAGGATATATTCTGTATCCTTAAGTGTTTATAAACATTTTCTGTGATCTTTCTCTTTTAAACTCATTGAATCAGAGGCTGTGTCTTGTTCATGCTTGGCATGTGCTCAATACATGTTTATTCCCAGCAATGAAAAATTGCAGTGTTCAGACGTAAGCTAAGGGTTGATTTGATACAAAGCAACTATTCAAATGTAGAAGGCTGGCCATCAGTTAGTCATTCCAGGGGCTGAACTTTTTCTAAGACCACCTGGTGGCTCAAGGATCCCTGTAGACCTGCAGCCTAAGAAGAAGGATGCAGCCCCCGGGACACTCTCCCCACTGGGCCAACCCCATCTAGGTCATGGTTCAAATGTGTTATCCCTTAATGCTCACCCAGTGGTGTTACTTTTGAGGAAACTGAAGGTCAGACACTCAGCACCTTGCTCGAGGTCACAGAAGAAATACGTGGTGGCCACAGAAATGATACCAAAGCCAACGAGCGTTCCTTATACGCAGTAGCACCCTCTTCCCACTCACCTATTCTAAAATAAGCATGAACATTTAGGAATAATGATCTCTTCTGAGAGTAGATGAAGCAAAGTTATTTTCTTACATCATGGCACCAAACTTAACATGATTTAAAACATTTTATTCCAAAAAAGAACAAAAAGTTCTCTGAACAGTAGAATAAAGTATTTATTCTTCGTTCTATTTATAATTTTAAGCCAAGCTAGATTTATCAAGAACCTGTGTAAATTATTGGATGGGAAATGGCTATTGTGGAAATCTTTGGAAAATTTCCATGTCGATTTTACTGTTCTAAATTAGTGTGGGAGACACACAGAGGATCGATCTGCGGCGGTGGTCCCCCACAGAGTGGTGTTTTCTCTGTTCGCACTGTGTCCCGAGCACACTGCCTTTTTCAGAGAGTGGAAAATGCAGAGAGGTAGAATTTAAAAACTGCAAAGAAGAACTGAACTAAAACGATTATGAAAGCTCTCCCGGTTGCTACTTGGGAGGGTCTACACTGAGCAAATCTTTCTGGAGAGAAATTTGCCAGAATTGACTAAGAGTTCTAAAAGCATTCACAATTTTCCCCTATAACTTCACACAATTCCCCTTTGTAAACAATACTTTAGGGAGATAAGAAAAAGCACATGTTAAAGATTTATGCATAAAGACATTTACTGAATATCCTTTTAAATATCCTATTTAAAATAGTAAAAAATTAGGAAAAAAACCCAAACATGTAGAAATAGGGGATTGGTTCAATGATAGCAGTCCTATGATAGCTTATTATTATTACAAAAGTCACGTTTTAAATGTTTTTTATACCATGAAAATGTTTATAATATATAAGTGAAAAGAGTAGGTGACCAAATTATACATATATAATGATTTATATCCTTAATACATGTATGAGTAGAAAAAGCTACGCATATAAAGTATGTACAAGTAGAAAGAAGCTTGGTAGTATAGCTTCAAAAAATTATTATCTTTTAGTGAAGAGATTTGGGGCCTACATTTCCGAATTTTTCTTATTTTTATAATAGTGTATTACTTTATAACAAGAAAAAATGAACGTTATTTAACAGAGAATCTTTCCCACATAAAAGGAAAGCGTGGCATCACCCTTCTCATGCGTTCGCTTACAGAGTGAATCCAAGTTCACCGCGAGCACAGGTGGGTTCTGGGATGGTCAGAAACCCGGAAACTGAAGCCCAGAAGAATGAGTGGAAGGAACTGGGAATTTTTAGCCTGGAGAAGTGGAAGGGTCCCCAGACGGCCACAGGGCAGGGGGAGTTAGCGAAACACGCTTAGGTTCAGTGTAAAAGGAAACCTCCAGACACCTCTAGCTGCACAAGAAAAAGACATAATTGGACACTCAGTGACTTTCTGATAAAGGGTTCAGACACCACCGCGTCCACCTCCAGCGCCCCCTTGTCATATAAACCCTACCTTTGCCTTTGACAGGAGAACTTGATCTATTCCTGGTTTCCCTCCATACAGGTAACTGGTGGGCTAACAGTTAACTACACTCTTTGGAGCTGTTCTTTGACACCTGACACCTGAGACCGCAGCAGGCCACCGGGGAGGGGACAGTGTGCAAGACGCTTTGAGCTAGCAGAAGCAGGAGAAGGACCTACCATTCGCCGAGTGTCTACGATACCCAGACACTCACAGAACATATGCAAGGTGTGACGGAATTATTCACTTTTCTGAGTATTTCATTACGTAATGATCACACGGAGTGCCAATGGAATCAAACCAATCTTTTCACAAGGAGTGTTCATCCACTCCTTGAGCTTGGAACTCCTCGGTCCTCACGCAAGGATATAAAGCCCCAAATAACTCATAATCTCCGGGCCTTTTTATGAAAGTCAGAAATCGGCTTTGGGACTGTGAGCGAGTGATCGTCTTCCCGCGGCCGTGGGGCAGCGTAGCAGCCCCGGGCCCTGCCCTCCCCGCCATCACGCTCACCCTTTCGCTCCACGCGGTGAGGAACCAGCTCTTGGCGCAGGGGCCCATGTCGCAGTTCTCAATGTCGTTGGGCCGCAGCTTCATGTTGCATTCCTCGTCGTCAACCACGTCCCCGATGTTGCTCACGCACTTCACGTCCCGGGTTCTCTGTCCCACGCCGCACGGCACCGAGCACTAAGACGCAGCAAGCGTTAGTCCGAGAAAGTCCTGCCAGTATGGAGCCCCGACCTTTGTTACCTGCCCCCAACAGATGACCGTGGGGAGTCCCGTGTCCCCAGGTCCCCTGCAACGCACGTAACTACCTGGGGAGGATCTGAGCCCTAGAAACGTCACAGCCCTTTCCTCTTAGACCTTCTGAGATGCCTTGCCTACTTTATTCCTCTGGGCCTCAGTTTTTTCATCTATAAAATGGGAGGGCAGGACTGAAAGGAGGTGGCTCCACCAGCAGTTGCCGGCCTTCACTCCACCATGGCACACGGACCAGATGAGGCCTCCCACGGGCTCACCGTAAAGTCGGCTGCGGGTAACACAGCCTCCCTAGCCTCAATTCTATTGAGCTAGTGGTACATCCCATGGTTTGCAAAAATGGCCATGTAGAACCCCCAGGATGGGTTCTCTCCCGGGGAACTCAGGGTTACCCCGTCTCACGTCTTGGCGGGGGAGGTGGGACAAAGGGGGTGAGTCTTGGACGGGGAGTTCCAGGGTGGGCCGTCGCTGCATACCGAGGTCCAGTCCGTCCGGATCTGCCACTCGCTGCAGATCTTCAGCTGGCAGGTGCTGGTGGTCTCGGGCTTCTCCAGGTGCTGGCAGCGGTAGGGCTGCACCGTCAGGCTGCGGTTGGCATACACCTGGCGGCACAGAACCTGCCGGTGCTGCATGCCCAGACCGCAGGTCTTGCTGCACTCGGACCACTCCCCAATGTCCCAGCTAGCTCAGAAACGAGACAGCGAGAGGAGAGACAGCACTCAGTGAACAGAAGGGAGTATGTGGGCCCGCGCCACCGTACACGGGGCCAGGGCGGTTATTACAGGGACCCTTTCATGAGGGCACTGCTTAACAGTCTGCCCGAGGGTCACCTGACTGTCTAAAGGAAGGTGTGTTTCTTTGACATGGTATTTACCAGTGACAAAGGCCTAGATTATGTAAAAAGTTATAGAAAACTGAGAAGGCACAAATAATTTTTATCTGTTTTTAAAAAAATAACCCTAACGGTTAGTTTCATTATCCTGTAGGACATTAACCCACTTTGGAACTGACTTAGAAACCTTATTCCAGTGTTCTTTACTTTTCATTAACTGTTTCCGTATCAGTTCTGCCATCTCGCTCTGTCACTAGTTAAATGAGGCAGCAGCCCACGCTCATTCCGTATTGGGGTGAGAACGGTATTTTTATTACTCTGAGAATTAGGTTTTGCCCCTCTTAGGGCCCTTTCCCCTGTTCTCAGGGATGTGTCCTGTTCATCCTTCCAGGACCAGGTCAAGGCCTCTCCCTGACGCTTCCTGACACTGTGTTTGTGGCGCCCTCTGTCCTCTCTGTCCACAGCTCACCTCCAACCCCCTGGCTGGATTCTCAGTCTTTGCTTCCCCCTTTGGTTTCCTCACCAGGCTAAAAGCTAATTGCTCCGATTTTCCAAAGGGTGGGCTTCCTGGGAGGGAGCTGACTAAAGGCTGTCGGGCCTGAGTTCATGCTGAAAGACAGGCTGCTTGCTAAACAGACATGCCGTGCATGGTCTAAATCAGATTTAGACTGATTTAAAAATGACATTATGTCTGCTACGGGCGGACAAGCAGCCAGAGTGGCCGGGTCAGGCGAGGTAACAGAGGGGCATCTTACAAGGCCGGGCAGGGGAAGATGTTGCAGGGCTCCTCCTCGGGCGTCGGCTTCATGCTGGAGTCACAGTAGCTCTCCGGGGCCTCCTCGTGGGTGTGTCTGTGCACGCAGCGGAAGACGGGGTACTGCGCCCCTGCAACGATAGGCGGCGTGGGCGGGAAGCCTCGCCGGGGAGCCGGGCTGCGGGCGGGGCGCACGGGGGCGGGTGCCCTGTGGGGACAGGCACGCTCACGCCCTCCCTCGGGGTGCACGCACCCCACCTCGCAGGGCTTTGCCAGGAACGCGTCAGCAAGGGTCACACGCAGTCCCCCCGCCGAAGGACTCAATCCTGTACCGGGCCTGGGCAGGTGAGCGCAGGGCCTGGGCAGGTGAGCGCAGGGCCTGGGCAGGTGAGCGCAGGTCGCTGCAGCACAGGGCAAGTGCCCGCCTGGCAAAGCGGCCCGGTCAGAGATGGTTAAGGTGAGGCAAGAAGTAAGACGAGTAAGAAAGGGCGAAAGAGCAGCGGCCGTCCCCGTCTGGACAGCGTTTCACACGCGTCCCTCCAACCCTGTCCCCACCCGACTGCAGGTCAGTGATCTGAGTCTGTCTGCTCTCGTTCTTGCTCATCTCTGCAGCCCAGCACCCGGCAGAGCAGCAGGTGCGCGATAGGAGTTTGTTGAATGAATGTTTATCAGAGGTCTAACAGGTGTTTTTATTACTTTGCTTAAAATATCCTAACTGCCTCAGCTTTTTTCTGTTTTAAATACACAGCCTCGTTTCGTTGACTTCATAAGGATACTTCTATATTTGGACAAAAATCCAGAATTTTTAAAGCAGAATTTCTAGCTTTAAATAAATTTAAAAACAAAACAGCCCTCTCCTCCAAAAATCCAATCTCCCAAAACCAGTTAGTTCAATGCTGCCTTCCTCTTTCTGCTGCCACCTGGTGGCAGCACTGAGGTATTACTAAAGGACATTTAGGAGTGAGAGATGTAACCCACTGAACGTGTCCTCTGAGCCAACCATCGAAGATGCTTCTTCACAGATAACTGTCCTGCCCGCAGTAGAGGCCAGTGAGCAATGCCTGCTGGGAGAACACTCTAAGTTATTCTACAGTTCTGTCTCATCTCTGTGGCTAACTGGCCAGGCATTTATATCTTCTGAACCTCCGTCTCCCTACAACTAAGGACAACGTTTATTTAACATAAATGTCTCAATATTTCATCAGCCATGAAAGTCTTTCAACTCCTCTTCAACTGGTCTTGTGTGACATACCAAGCCAGAGGTACGGCAAGAAACTTGACAGTCTGTAAGACAGTTTTGAATCTGAAACGATCATTTGTTTAAATTATTCTGGCAGTAAAAATTTACAGTGTAGCTATAACTCGAGACCATTATTTAATAGAACGTTCCAATTAAGCATAATTATTGGCTGAGTGAAAAGCAGTACTAACTGTAAAGTTAATGGGAGGCGAAAACTTTTGTGGAATTAAATTTTGTACAGCTACATCTCTCCTTCCATTAAATAGAAGAGATTTTAAATTAAATTCAACAAACATTAAGCACATTGTGCTGAGTTATAAAGATGAATGAGACACAGTTCATAGCTTGCAGCGTAGCCAATGGGGACTCAGCTATTAAGGGATTAAGTAAAGATCTTATTTAGCCTATTCCTTTCCCTCCAGACCATGTGGGTTTAACTTTTCCACTCATAATTTTGTGGATTGGAAAGTAAATGTAACTACTCCAACCACTAGGCATTCACATAAGGAGGAAATTGAATGTTTTTAGCTAAAAGGGTACAGGCTACCATAGGAATGCTCTGTGCCTTGGGACGATGGGCTGTTTGGGGCCGTCTGGCATGTGGCCACCGCTTGCCTTTCCTCACCACGTTATTGCCTTCAGTACGGTGCCCGTGGTCAGCGCCATGGCAATGAACTCAGCAGCTCTGTCTTTCTGATGGTGAGAAACTGCCCCATCTACAATCCTTGCATCCTGCGACTGCAATGGTTTCTTTCTTTGTGTCAGTTTTCATAGCTGCAGAAAGAGAGACTGTCACTCAAAATGGCACCTGGCCACCTCCTATTGTTCAGGATTGCGATTCGGTTATTCCTCTAATTGCTAGCAAGCAGCAACGGGGTGGGGGGTGGGGTGGGAGGTGAGGTCGATCTAAATGGAAGTGTGTTATGTTGGGGGAGGGGACTGTACCACAGCAGACAATAAATGACATAAGGCAGTGAATTCAGGGGCTAGTGTTGAGGTCAGCGAGACATTATGGAGCAAAAGACAAAATAAAGAGCAAGAAAAAATTAGATGACTCTGGACTTGGGACTCCAGGAAGCAAATGAACCAAGACCAAAGTTTGACAACAGTCTGGTTAATGACTATGTCCTGTATGGGCCACTCTCGGAGGCCAGCAACAGGGCCCTGCCCTGAGATGGTGATATTGGGATGCTGAAAGCATTTACAAAAAGGGGAGTTTGAAAGTGAGATGCATAGAACGGTGTGGTACGTTAGCTCCACAGCAAGGCCTAGAGAGACGTGTGGGAGAGGGTTTGTGTGAGATCACAGGAGGGTGGACTGGGCTGTGCTAAACAAGCTGGACAGTGGCTTGGCATTTCTTGGCCACAGCACACTTGCTGCCGCTGCTGCTGCTGGCTGTGGGATGGGCTCCATGTCTGTGCACCTGCATGGCCTCACCTGTCCTGCATGTCTGTGCGCCCACCCCTGCCCGGCAGCCAGCCTTAGAGGGAACAAAGGAGAGGGACCCATGAGCTGCTGCCATTTGTCACATGGAAGAAAAAGGGAACTAGATTCCTAGAGAAGGGAGGGAGGGGGGAACAATACACTCCTGGTTTGGTTTGATTTCCAAGGTACCTTGTAAGCATCTCTTGGGCCTGAGAACCTATGCTGTTTAATGTAAAGAAGAGATGGACGCGTCATCTCAGACATTTTGAGTGGCAGATGCCAAGTGCGCATGTGTGGACATGCACACGTGGGTATGTACAGGTTAAACCTGTAAACCAGATACTGTGCATGCTAAATCCCACACCTGACAGTCTCTGTAAGAGAGTCTGTATGTGTGTGTGTGTCCACAATGCAAAGAAGAAATGCTATCTTAGACAATTAGCATCATATGGAAATCTAAAGAAAAAGATAGTTCAGTTTTGAATACATAAATCCATGTTCTTTATGCTATATTGACAGAACATGGGTAAAGGCAGTGGACTCATGGATCTAGGATATAATAAAGATGCAAAAACTACCATTATGGCTTTTCTAATAGCTCACAGATTCCACATTTGAAATGTGGTGATGGTATATTTATTTATTCAAGAAACACAAGAGCACCTACTGTGTGCTTGTATGATGCCAGGTGCAGAGGCTGCAAAGTGGGAATGCATGGAAACAGCCTCGCCAAGCAGGGCTGGGACAGGAATGTGTTCCAAATTGCTGTGAGGTCCCAAGGACCAAGAACTACCTGTCCCCTGTAGAATCAGAAAAGGACTCGCAGGGGAGGTGGTGTCTGAGCTTGAGTGTGAGCAGGAGTTTGCTGGTCAGACAGTGGCACGTAGGGACAGAGGGAGGTTTTCACTCTGTGTGGACCACACGGGCTGGGCTGGGCTGGGGGTGACATAACCAGAACCTCTGGACATGGGTCTCTCCGTCAGAGGCCTGTCGCATGGCCACCTGCACGAGTAAGTGGTGGCTGTCCAGTGCAGGACTGCGAGGGCAGTGTGAAGGACAGGCCGGCTCGGGGCACAGGTGTTTGTCCTTATCTCGTTACGTCCACAATCCAAGACCTTATGGGGCTCCAGACAGGGTGGAAGAGAATCTAGACATGCCACCCTTGATAGAAAACCACACGAGGACAATTTTCATCCCTTTTATAACTTTCCCTGTTTTCACCTAGCTCTGAGAGTGTGTGGTTCCTTTAATGGGCATCACCCACTGCCTGATGGTAGAACGTTTCAGTAATGATACCTTTGATCCTGGCTTCTTGTATCAATTACACTACATACTGCGTACCCCTGTAATGTCACGCACAAATTCTCACTAAAATGATCTTGGTCTTAATGCAGAATTATTTCTAGCTTTCTGTCTCTGTCAGGACACATTTTACAGGCATTTAATTTTTTCCTCATACAGCTTATAAAACAAGCGGGTCCAACGAATCTCCAGTCCACATTCTTTGCACATGTATTAAGTACGAACACAATGAAATCTGCCCAATAAAACCTCTGTAAATGCACGCTACAGTGACCAAGTCATTACGGCGTTTGCGGAGGTTCCAGGCAGGAAGAGCCCCAACCCCCAAGAACCACAGGCCTAAATGCTATTCTCAAAAGCCACTAAGCCAATGCTCTTGAGAGAAATACAGAAGCGTTAGAAGCTGTTGGGAGAGATTTTCTGTGTGCTAGTTTTGTCAAAGCTTCCAAACTTTGTGCTCTTAGATAGAAGCTTCTCGAAGAAAAGAAAAAAGAGAAAATCCCCAAAGCGAAGCTCTGGAGTGTGGCACTGCTTCCCGGTTGCAGATCCCTGGGGGACGCAGCCGTTCTGTTTCCATAGTAACCTCCCCACAAAGAACAGCTGTTTCAGGGATCAAATAGGACTTTACTACAAACAGGAGGCCATGGCCATATATATGAAGGAAACTGCAACGACACGGTTCGCAGATGAGTCTTTGTGATGAGGACACAGGCCATCTCGAAACAGAAGCAGCACCTTTCCAACCCCCGTGCTGAATATCAGGTAAGGGGTTTCTGGACACCACATTCCGCGTCTATCTTAACTTCAGAGTTTTCAAGGAAAGAAGACCCTAGGTCCCCTTCACAGTCCTGATGTGACCCCTTTACACACAGCCATGCTTTGCTTTGGGCCTAGCAAAAGTCTGCTTTACTTAAGTTTCACCTAAACTCCACCTTTCGACCAAATCCTACGACTCCATCTTTTGTTTGGCGAGATGTCCCATGCTTCCTACAGCGTTTGGCCTCCCTTGTTGCAAGGAGTCAATAAAACTTTGTTGGGCTACAGGTGTGTCCCGGTAGTCCTAGCTGCTAGGGTCAGGATAATGGATGCACCCAGGGCTAGGATTTTACTGGGAGAGTATGGAAGGGGTTGTGCGTGTTGCTGAGTGCCAAAGCTAGCTAACACTCCAAGCCTCAAAAGTATGTTTTCTTCTGAAATCCTTAGATTTGAGAATGAGTTTCAACAGGCATTTGTGTTAAGTATTCCACAAACCTGACTTGTGTATCAACTTTTAGATCTTAAAGTATGTGAGTATATTCTGTGATAATTAATGAATATAGGTGTGCAGAAAGGGGTTAACTCAGCAGGTCTGTGTTGCTCAAGCCCTGTGCATTCCCAAGAAAGGCCTATCTTCAGGACTGGCCCTTGCCCAGCTCCTGGAAAACAGCCTCTGAGCCATTGGAACATTCTGCCCAATGAAAGTGTTTTCTCATGTCTGAGGTCTCGGGCCATGCCAAATCGAATTGACAAGACAGTCTGTGCTAACAATGTGATTTACAGTGAATGCCCGTTTGTGTATGCCTTAGGCCCTGGGCCGTGCCGCATCAGTTTGGCCTCTGGGTGGTAAAGGTTGAGTCGCTGACGGCAGTCAGCCAGGAGCTGCACCCTTACCTGACTGACCCTCAGTAAGAACCCTGGACCCCAAGGCTTGAGTGAGCACCTCTGGTTGGCAGCCTTGGCACGTGTTGTCACGCGTCACGGTTGGGAGAATTAGGTGCGTCCCTGTCGACTCTACCGGGAAGCTGGTGCCTAGCTTCTCCTGGACTTTGCCCACATGCCTTTTCCCTCTGCTAAGTCTCATCTGTATCCTTTTACTGGAATAAACTGTAACCAGGGGCACCTTTCTAGATGTAAACCCTGCCAGAGTGGCCTTGGGGAGCCCCCGCTCCAAATGCCACCCCAGCGAGCGTCTCGCAGACGGGCATGGCGGAGGCGGTTTGCCACTCCCCTTGTGTGGGCTTCTGCAGGGACCCTCCTGTCTCACGCAGGCTCACCTTTCCCACAGGTTGTTGAGCACTCTGTTGTTCCCAGCTGCTTCCAGTTGTGGTCCCGGCTTCGCCGTGGTGCGTGTGGCGCTGGTGGCACCAAGTTGTCCGGTCGGTGGGGAGACAGCCTGTCTGGGTGCCTGACCGAGAAGGTCTGCGCCGCCTCAGGGGTGAATATTTCCGGAGCCTTCCCACGCAAGTCCTCCTTCTCCTCGTGCCTCTCTTTCTCTTCTCTCTCTTCTGGGCCCCTCCCCTCTGCTCCCAGCTGGCCATTGAAGGGTTCCCCTAGCAGAGGCAAGTGCACACACACTGAGCAAGGTCCTTTGGACACTGAGTTGAAAAGAGGAAATTGCTTCACTGTTAGAAATTAAGTGGTGTGAGATCAGGTCCAACTCACGGCCCATAGCACATCTATTTCAAATACACAGACACTACTTTCCATGATATTCAAAACACTATTAAACACAAATAAGAAGAGATGAACATTCTAGAAGGAAAAGTAGGCAAAGGCCATAGAGAGACAGTTCACATAAAAAGAAATACAGCCACAAATCGTACAAGATAATTCCACTTCACTCAGAATTAAAGAACCACATACGAAAAGAAGGATGACAGCTTTGTTTATCCAGAAATACAGGTTAGAAGGTTTTAAATCCCTAACCTTGTTGAAGGTGCAGGAGAACACACATGCCGAGCCTGACAATAGATGAGAGTTTTCGGAGGGCAATTTGGCACCATCTGTCCAAATTTCAAATGTACATACACTTGGACTTGGATTCAGCTTCTAGGACACTTGTCATACAAATATTCTGATTCTTTTACATAAAAGTGTACATATGAGTATGGTTATTAAAGTATTATTTGAAATAGCAAAACAGTACAACAGACTTAAATGTTCATCCACAGTACTGGTTAAAATGCATTGTGCTACAACTACGAAATGATACCAGGTAATTTTTTTTTAAAGAATGCAGCAAATACATGTTCTGACAGGGAGATATGACTCTGAATGTTGTTTGGTGAGAGAAAAAAGCATAACACACACACACACACACACACACACACACACACAGATGTGGCAGGTCACTTTTTGAGATATTGTGTTTGATTTTCTATTTTTGTTCCTCCTCTTCCTCCAGTCTGAAAGAGTAGCCAAGTTCTCAGACGTTCTTGCCTGGGTTTTTTTGCAGGACAGAAAGCGAAAACTGCTTGAAGTCAACAGCTGTCTGTTCCCAGCCTAGGCTCTCACTGAGGGTAAAGTGGATGTCCCCAAGGCCCTGGCCTGGGGGAAGGAGGAGGGAAAAGTAGAGAGTATGTAGGAGAGAGAGGAGAGGAGAGGAGAGGAGAGGGGAGGGGTGAGGAGGGGAGGGGAGGGGAGGGGAGGGGAGGACGGTGTGAGCACCGTGGACCTTCTGTGCACTAGGCATGGCTCAGGAGGAGGCCACACCGGAGTGGGTCTGGGCGCCTGGCTTCCAGCCTCCCCAGCACCCCGTGTCCCTGTGCAGGTGCAGGTTGGAAGGAGTAGAGCTGAGCCCTAATCTGAAGGTCTCACGAGGCTGCTCCTGTAGGCACCTCAGAGGCGCTGGTGTGGACAGACCAGCAGAGGAACCTGCAGCCCTAGGGACAAATGTGGCCTGCTAGGTCCTTAAATGCGACCTTTGACTGAATTCAAATTTTACAGAACAGATACTTTTATTGAAAGGGGTGCAGCAGAGGAAGATGAAGCTTTTCTTGCCTCCTTTGGTGCTTAAAAAGGAACAATCTTGAAATCAGAAGGCCTGCTTGGACCCATGTAAGACTCTGGGATCTTGACTCATACCCAGAGTGTGTGTGTGGAGCCCCCACACTGACTGCAACTCAATTTTCTTCCAGTTTTAAAGAAAGTTGAATTTAAATTGACTAACAGAAAATAATGATATGCAGCATTTCTTGTACACTTGAGACTGTAGACGAAGATTCCGGCTGGCTGTAGACATGTCTGTATACGTGTAGAAGGGGCAGGTAGAACCGCAACAAATTATTAAGACAGACTCCTTCTAGGAAAGGGACGGGGTTGCGGACTGTTGCTTTTTTATTTTTTAATGGGCTTTATTGTTTTTAAGAGCAGTTTTAGGTCCATAGCAAAACTGAGCGGGGAGCAGTATCCCATGTACCTCCCACCCCCCGACAGGCACAGGGTCCCTCGCTGCCAACACCCTGCACCAGCGTGGTGCATGTGTCATGACTGATGGCCCTACGCTGACACATCGTCATGCCCCAGAGTCCACAGTTTGCAGCAGGATTCGCGCTTGGTGCTGGGCATGCCACGAGTCTGCACGAGTGCACAGCAACAGGCATCCACGCCACAGTCCCACGCTGCCCTGAACATCCTCCGTGCTCCCTCCGTGCTCCCTCCGTGCTCCTCCCTGGCACAACCGATCCTTTTCCCGTCTCCATATTCTGACTGTTCTAGAATATCGTGCAGTTGCAGTCACACAATATGGAGCCTTTCAGATTGGCTTCTCTTATCTAGTAATATGCATTTACATTTCCTCTGTGTCTTTTTGGGGGCTTGAAAGCTCATTTGTTTTCAGCCCTGAAGATGTACCACATTTTATCCATTCACCTACTGAAGGACATCTTGGTTGCTTCCAAGGTTTTATAATTATGAGGCAGTCGCTTTTAATTTCATGTTTTTATTTTGATTGAATATTGTTCAATTATATACTACTTTAATACAGAATAAGGGGGCAAATTCTAGAGTTACCGTAGAACATAGTTAAAACTGTTAATATTAGGGCTTTCTTCATGTTTTACTACTGCTTTCTTGCTTAGTTGGCTAATGACAATGCTTCATGGTTTAAAATATTTTATGCAAACTAGACCAACAGAATAGAGGCCAGGCATACTGATATATATATATAAATGAGACTGTCCAAGGTGTTATCAGACAACACATTTTTAAGTCTTCTGCACCATGTATGTGCTGAGCTCTCTGCTAGGATGGACACATAATTTACTCAACCTCTGCCCACCCCACCTCCCCAAACCACCTTTGAATGTGGTTGTTTTTTCTGCTTTGCAGACTGGAACTGTGTTCAGAGAAGTTACAGACTTGCCTGAAGGCACTCAGCAAGAGCAGCAGATCTGGATTCAAACTCTGGCCTCCTGCCTCCACACGGAGGATGAAGCCAGGTTCATAAGGCCCTTCCCACCGCCTTTTTACAGCCGATCTCCTCCGGTCCTGCCCTGGGCCAGCCCCTCTGCTCCCCACCAGCTGAGACCATTAGGCTCGTTAGCATCATCATCGTCCTATTTGATTTCAAATAGTCTGTCCAGGTTGTCCCTGTAAGTCGGCAGCGAATCCCAGTATTTTGCCATCCGACTTGGTTTCTCAGACTGTGCATTGCTCCTGGGAATGGCGTAAAAGTGCTTTGTTGGGCTGAACGTGTGGACTTGGAGTTTGGACCACACACCCACCCCGCGTGTGGGCACACACCTGGCTTTTTTCTGTAGGCGGCCAGGCGGCTCCCCCACCGTGCAATCAATCAGGTAACCCAGTTATCCAAGCCAAAGCCAGAGAAGGGTGGATGGGCCAGTCTGGCATCTGTCCCCCACTTCCTAGGACAGGCGTCCGGCCAGCCAATCTCTAGGCAGCATAGTAAGCACAGGGCAGTCGCTCAGCACAGGTTGAGGTGTGACTTGATCTCCCTACGCTTTCATTTCCTTGCTCTTAAGATGAGGCTCATAATAGTGAGTGCCTCCGTCTGCTGGGAGAATCAGAGTTAGTCTAAGTAAAGTGCTTAGCACAGCGTCCCGCACGCAGCAGGGACTCCGGGCGTGTGAGCCGCTATTATCGTTAATATTCCCACAGACCTTCCTGTTCCAAAGAAGGAAGAGATGGCCTGCGTTTGAGTGGTGGGCTCCGTCATCAATAATCTGGGATAAAATATCTGCAGAGCCACAAAGCTGCCCCATGGCCAGTGCCAACCCAGCGCCAGCCGCCTGCTCTGTGTGAGCCCACCGGGAAGACCCAGCGCGGATCGTCAGTGTGAACTCAATGTTCCTGTCTTACAGGTCAAAGTGTTACTAACAGAAGCAAAAGGGGAACAAGGGACAAGACAGAGAGTAGACAGATAATAGCCACCCAAAGATGTCCACATCCCAATCCCTGGAACCTGTGAGTATGTTACCTTTTACAGTGACAGGAACTTTGTAGATGTGATTAAATTCAGGATTTTGAGATGGAGACATTACCCTGAATTATCTGGGTGGGCCCAAAATAATGTCAAGACTCCTTATAAAGGAAGGGGGAGGAGGACGGGAGTTAGAGAAGACGTGCTGTTGGAAGAGGGCCCTCGTAGTGCAGATGTGAAGGTGCTGCCCTGCGGCTTTGAAGGTGCAGGGAGGGGCCAGGAACCGAGGGACGCAGGTGGCCCCGAGGAGCTGCCAAAGGCAGGGAGGCGCATCCTCCCCTAGGGAGGCCCCCAGAGGGAGCGTGGCCCTGCTGGCACCTTGATTTTGGCCCAGTGAAGCCCAGCCAGACTTCCAACCTCCAGAACTGTAACATAATAAATGCGTGTTGTCTTAGGCCACTAAATCTGAGGTAGTTTGCTCAGTAGGAGTAGGGAGCTAATGGAAAGCGTTTCAAAGTGTTGCACTGGAAAGGCAGACCCGGGGCATTCACTTCATTTCTGAATCAAGTCAATGAAAGGGTCGTCTCCGTGACGGCTCAGAGGGTGAAGGACGCTCTGCTAGGCCCGCAGGTTCTGTCTGTGTTGGCTGGGAGCAGAGGGAGAGGCACGGGGGGAGAGAGAGACGCTGCAGAAGCAAATGACCTGGGGTGTTTGGCAGCGGAGCCGGGATCTTACCTGGTCTCCTGCGAGGCGGCACCTGTGGGCTGATGGCGTTGTTCCCCATGATGACGTACTCGTAGTGGACCCCCGGGTTGGGCTGCTGGTGTATCATCTGCCGACACAAACGCCAAGGTCACGCCCTCCGCACCCATGCGCGGCCCCTTGCCCACTGGCTGGGGCTGCAACGGCATAGGCAGCGCTACCGATAAGTGACGGGGCTGACTCACGTCTAGTCATACTAGTGAGCCCGGGACAGATGAAGAGATTTCCAGATGGCTGTCGTTGGCTTTTGAAGAATGAAGAACTTAGTCTTTGAGAAAACCAGAAGAAAACTAGGCTAAGAGATAACATTTTATAATTCCAAATAGGAAGATGGAGCAATGGTGGCCGAATCGCTCTGTTGGTTCCCAACCATCCTATCCCACGGCTGAGATTTCTCCAGTGCTCTCAGAGTGTCCAGAACAGGTGAGCACGTTTGCACCGCAGGAGAACCTGTGTGGACACTAGGTGGCGAGACAGTGTCGTGCAAACGAGGATGAGACCTTGGCAGAGCCACTCCGGGATCCCGCAGGGCCCTTCCCAGTCCTCCCCTGGCCAGTGGGCCAGCTCCAGGTCTGCCCCAGCCCTCTCCCCCCTGCTGGCTCTCTGGGCCCCACCCCCGCCCTACCAGAACCACAGAGATGGGGACAGGAAAACAGGTGGAAGGGAGGTAAGTCTCCCTGAGTCACATTTTCAGAACCGGTGACAAAGACAGGTCAGTGACAGGAGGCTGCCCAGGGCTGTGAAAGTCAGCAGCTGCCTGTGGTCTGGGCCGAAAACACGACACACACGAGCACGGCGCAGCAGAATGAATTCCCCCCTCCCAGCTTGGGATCACAAAGTCCTTCTCGCCGTGGCTTCCCGGGAGAGAAGCAGGATGGTGCGGAAACAGAGCGGTAGGACAAGGAGCTCCAGCGCAAACAGGAGCCAAGCGAGGACACGCGGTCGTGCTTTGATATTTCTGTCTCCGCTGCTTTATAAGGTGGCTCTCCTGCTGACCTGCTGAGTGACCTAGAGCAAGTTCCCGAACCCCACAGGTTTTGAGTTCGTCATCTGGAGACGGAGGAGGTGAGGATCACTGCCAACCTTGCAGGCCCTTCCTAGCTGCTGGCATCGCTGCGTCACTCCCGCAGGGGCAGGTCCCGTGTCTATTCCTGGCGTTCACGGCACAATCTCTCGCCCACTCCCTCCTTGTGGAATGGGTCTCGGCTCTATGAATCACCCAAGGGAAGGCAGACGTGGCAACACTGGGCGCCCCACTCCCAGAAACCAGACGCAGCCATCGGTGCTACAGGAACATGGCGGTGAGCACAGAACCCCCAAGAGGCACAGTGTGTGGCCTCAGGTTCCTGCTGTCTGCCCCTGATCTTCTCACTCCCCTTTCCAGCCAATCTGTGTTCGGTGTGAGGCTGGAAACCCTCCCTCGCTGTGTGCGTGGGTATTCTGCCAGTGCAAACCTCGTCCTGTCTATGACATTACTGTTGGCTCCGTTCCCAGACCGCCCACGGTAGGCCTCTAACAGCCTGAGTTTTTACCACTGATGCCATTCGAAACTTACCCTGCGTCAACCAACCAACTGGACAGTCCCAAAAAATACCCAAAATTAACTACAGTGAGGCTTTCTTTGTAATTTCCAGTCCACTAGGCCCAAGAGGAAAGGATGTAGAACTTTATAGGTGGAGAAGTAATGACAGTGCAATTAATAATATTTCTAAAACTCGGACACAGCAAATACTATGTGATTAGCGTGGCTTTGGGGACAGCAGGAGCATGTATATTGTTGGGTGAGCTCATTCTTTTTATCCTAACACCATTTCAAGTTTTTATTTATTTATTTATTTTATTTTATTTTATTATGAAGACACTCAGGTTTCATCAAGCTTTTATTTCTTGTTATCTTTAATTTCCTGATCTTTTAAGAAGACTGGTTCCTAGTGGTTTCCTCTAAACATAAGTGCCATTTTAAACTCTTGAGCAACTTAATTTACTTTCTATGAAACCAAAATATTAAGGTTCTGTCTTTTGTGAAGCAGCTTCTCTTATAGCGAAGCTCTCTATTGTTACTCAGGGCTTTCTAGTTTCATGGGGACACTCCGGAGCTCTCCTTTCCTCATTTGCTTGAGTTCGGAGAGCACTGGGAGCTGTGGGCAGTCCTGTCTTGCTTTGGGCATTTGCTTGCTTTTGCCATAAAAGGTAAACATGCCAAATTAGCATTATGAGGAAAGTGCCTGGAGGAGATCCAATGCTCATGAAATAAAGGATTTGCTTTGCCTCTGATTTGGTTCAACAAGTAAAATTGGTTTTACTGGGTCAATAAACTCCGAGGGTAATAAGCATCTGGTAGAGTTTAAGGTTTCTCTGAGCTAGATACACTCGGAGGTGAATGGCGAGGACGGACGCCAAGCAGTTAGGGACACCTCAAACAGGCTGCGCTCGGAGGATTTTACTGGGCATGGGCAAAGGTTTGTGGCTTGTTTGTTCTCAGTGTGTTGCTTAGAAGCAACAAGATACAAAATCCATAGAACAGTCCAGAAACATGCAAACTCACATAGACATCCAAGATCTCATTGGTGGGACCTTCGGCCAGAAAGGACTCTCCGGCAGTGCTTGAAATCTCATTTGGACGCTTGTAGGTGAACATCGTCCCTCCGCCCTCGTATTTTCCAGGACGGTCGATGGCCCAGTTCCCATTGATGATGGAGCGGCCGGAACGACTCCGCAAGGCTGTTGAGATAAACGAGACAGTCCCTCGGGTCAGCACAGGGCAGCACAGGAAATCGGACGGACCCCCCTGCACCGGCTTCTCCGTTCCTCAAGGTTTCTGTTAGGGGCCCCTATGTGCCAGGCACGGAGCCAGGCCCAGGGCACCATCAGCCGTCTAGGCCACATCCCTGGGGCCTGCTCACTTCTTCCTCGCACTCTGCTCCCCGCCGTCACTTGGGCTTACTTAGGAGTGAAGGGTGGGGTGGTTTGGGGAAAAGGATGTGGAAATTGGGAGGGAAAGGAGAAAGAGGAGAAAGATAAAAAGGGGGAAGGGAAACCAATTTACATTATATACCATTATCTAGGTGAGAGTTTGCACACTGGCAGCCCATGGGCTGATTTTGGCCCATAGATGGGTTTAGTTTGGCTTTTGTCGTGTTTTTTTTTTTTTAAATAATTGAGCCCAAATTTAAGAATGAAAAGATTTCACATAAAAAATTTAGAGTTCTAGCTTCTCTTATAAACCACGAAGACATATTAACATTGGCTCCGCATTCCCCCAGAGCAGCAATCGACTGGAGTTCAGGAGAACCGCCTCTTTTGGATGGAGCCTGCACGCTCTGGTTTGCCCCAGTCCCCACCACGCCCCATCGCTCCCCACGGCTGAGGCTAACTCTCAGCTTATTACCCAGTTATTTATGAATATGGTGCTGTATCTCATGTATCATGCACACATTGTTCTTTTTCTCATAGAATAGAGTTTTTCTTATAATGCTCCCTACTTGTGTGTCTACTAAAAGTGGGAAAGCTAGACATAGACCAAGAGGGTCACATGATTTTCTTCTATGTCTGGTGAGCTTCGTTCATTGCTGTTCCCTTCCTGACTTCTTGTGGGCCTTTGAGGCTGTGGGCTGTGGGCTGTGGTAGACACTCCCACATGTGGGGTCAAATTTAATCCTCACAGTGTTGCTGAGCAGATGTTATGACCCCACGTTTCCGAGAGTGGATCAGAGATGTGAGGGAACTTGTTCAAGTCCATGAGGACTTGTCGCTTCAAGTTCAAGTCTATGAGCGACAGGCCTGTAATTTAGAGTCTGCTCTCAGGAGGGAGATAAGAAAGGAGAGGAGGGTCAAGGAACAAGGTGTTGGGGTTAAAGGGAGAAGAAAAGGGCAGTGTCTGAGAGTAGAAGTTCTTCAGCTACCTTTGGCACCTGGGGAACCCCAAGCCAACGGCAGGTTGGGTTTAGAGAAGACCCTGTTTTGAGTGCCACAAACACAATGGCCCTGTGATGGCCACTGGCTCTTTGTACCTGCACTTTACAGGATTCCTAAATTTAACTTTTTATGATTGATTATGGAAAAATTGCAGACCCATCACCCCACTTTAACAACTGTCAACTCGTGGTTTATTCTGTTTTGCTCTGCACATCCCAGACCCCAATTTATCCTTAAAGTGTTTTGGTAGGTGCCACTAAAATATAAGGACTCTTTTTCTCAAAGCCATTGTCAGTAGTGCTTCTTACACAACAGGCCTTCCCGGACACCCGGCCTTCCCGGACACCCGGCCTTCCCGGACACCAGGCCTTCCCGAACACCAGGCCTTCCCGGACACCAGGCCTGCAGAGCCAGAGCTGCTGGGGAGGCGGACGAGCCTCCACCCGAGACAGCTTTTTTTGCAGTTCGCGGGCCGCCAGGCCAGCACAGGCGGGACTCGGAACGCGGGTCATGAAATCAGCTCAGCACGTGAGTGGCAGCCAAGGGCCAAGGGCGGAGACTGAGGAAGGACAGGTTTGGGGCTGCTCTTTATTCTTTATCAGCAACTGCACTTCTTGAGAGTGGTTCATACTGTGTCTCCATTGCCTCACTTCTCATTCATTCCTCCGTCATCCTCCATCTGACTCCTGCCCCCACAATCCATTAAGGAAACTAAGATTCATGTCGTGAAGGTGTCCACGCTGCTAAGTCCAATGGGCATGTTCCAGGCCTCTTGTTCCTGGCTGTCTGGGCAGCACCTGGCACTCCCCCAGCCTGCCTGACACACGCTCCCGCTGGCTTCTGGGACATCACACTCAACTCGCTTTCCTCCTGCTCGCAGGCTGTGCACTCTGTTTTCTCTTCTGTCTCATCTTTCTCTCCTGAGCCACTAAATATAAGACCTGCTTTGGGTGCCATATTCCTTTCATGAGCAATTCAGTCTGTGCCCATGACTTCAATTACCACAACGTGATACTGCAACCACAGCAACTTCCAAGTTTATGTTTCCAGTGCGAACTCTGCCTCTGGCTCCAGAATTTTATATCTAATTGCCAGCTTCACTAGGATGTCTTGTCTAAAACTGAGCCCATTCCTGGCCTCCTCATTACCTCAGTGCATGATACCACCACCCAACTAATCACAAACCCAGGAGTCATCCCGGACCCCTCCTCTCTATATGCCTGTGTCCATCCCTCATCCAATTTTACTTAACCTCCTACACATTTCTTGAACCTGTCTGCTTCTCTTCATGTCCACTGCCATAATCCAGAGCCAGGCTATCAGAGGTCTCATATGGACTAATTCAGAAACCTCCTACTTGGCCTTCCTATTTCTCTTCTTCTCACCTAGAACCATATTTTCAGAACATAGATTAGATGACCAACTATGGCTCAAAATCCTTCAGTGGCTTCCTATTGCTCTAGGGGACAACACCCTGATCATTAGTGGCCTCCTCCCCCAGGCGAGGTGGCCCCAGCCTCACCTTGCATCACTCTTCTCCTATCCCTGTGCTCTGCTCCCTGGCCTTATAGCTCATCTACTACACCATGTTCCCTCCACAGTGCTATCCCTTCTTCCAGAAATCCTATTCATTATTTTATTTTTATTTTTGGAGACAAGGTCTTGTTTTGTTACCCAGGCAGTGGCATGATCACAGCTCACAGCAACCTCAAACTCCTGAGCTCAAGCAATACTCCTGCCTCAGCCCTCTGAGTAGCTGGGCTATAGGCACACATCACCACGCCCAGCTAATTTTTCTATTTTTAGTAGAGATGGGGTCTTGCTATGTTGCTCAGGCTGACCTTAAACTCTTGTGGCCTCAAGCAATCCTCCTGCCTTGGCCTCCCAAAGTGCTAGGATTACAGGCATGAGCCACCACGCCTGGCCCTAAATCCTATTCATTCTTTTGATGTCAGCTTCCCCAGAGGAGTCTCCTCTTCCCTCCCCCACCCTGCCACCCAGTCGGGGCCTGTCTCTTCCCTGCCATGATGTAAGAGATGCAAGAGCCTTTCCTTCAAGGCATTTAACTCAGTTAGTACTACACCCATTGAGGAAATTATTTGATTAACGTTTGTCTCCTAGCATACTGTAAGCTCCGAAAGGGCAAAGACAGTGGTGTTTCTTCTGTGACAGCCCGAGGGCCCGGCATGGTGCTCACCACATAGTAGGAACGTAACACAGACACAGCAGAAAAAGGCAAACAGCTCAAAAGAAAGACAGGCAAAGAATGATAAACAGGCAGTCTGCAGAAAACCAAGTACAAATATTCCATAAGGAAACGAAAAGATGCTCTGCCTTACTTATAATTTAAGAAAAGCAAATCAAAACCACAATGAGGTAATTTTGACCCCCAAGATTGGTAAACATTTAAGAAAATTTAATATTGCTGTCACTGCCAGGTGTGTGGGCAAGTACCCATAACAGGAGGAATGTCCACTGACTCAACCCTGTTGGAGGATGGTTTGATTACACTGTTAAAACTTTAAATGCCCAGACACTTTGACCCAAGAATTCTACTCCTAGGAAATCACTTGAGGGATAATATACTTTTATAGGCACACAATAGTGTTTGTAACAAGAATATTCTATGTAGATTTTTTTTAAAAAGAGAAAACAAACCCCCCACAAATGTCCATCAGTAGAGGACTCATAACACTGGATGTTCACACAATGGAAGACCAAGTGACCCTAAAAAGAATGACACAGGTCTGTGTGTCTGTGTGTGTGTGCGTGTGTGTGCGTGTATGTGCGTGTGTGTGTGTGTGTATGTGTGTGCATGTGTGTGTGGAAAGAATTCCATTACATATTTTTGAATGAAGCAAAAACTCAGAACAGTGTGTTTGGCAGGATCCTATCTGTGTATACTTTTTAATAAAAGCATATACATAAAATGGGTACGTAAAATATTTAGAGAAGGACAGTCATAAAACTGTGCCCAAATAGTTATACATATTCAAAGGAAATTTGGAGTCAGAATAAATCAAATGTCCTAACGTTTTAAAGAGTAAGAATTAGCCCCCCTTGGGCACAGGAACTAGGGTTTACACTGGGACGGGGATGAGAAGGGAGACATACATTTTCCATTCTGTATCTTTTTACAACTATTTAAATTTTTTTTCCCATATGCACACATAACCTTCTTTGAAGCTTAAGCATTTTTAATTACTATAAAGGACACAGTACAAGCAGAAATACTCCTGTAGGGTACCGTTATTTTCCCTTTTTTTACAGCTTTTCCTTAAAATCCCATTCGCAGCATCAAAAGGTCAGAATTGAGGTAGGTTCTGGCTAAGATTTTACTGCTTTTAATAGCAAGACTGTAGAAGAGGTTATTATCTGGAAACCAAAAAGTATATTAAAGAACCATTTGAAATACTACAGAGGAGAAAGCTGCAAAGGCCTCCCTAGGAAATAAAAAATTGGGACCCTGAATCTTTTAAACATTTACTGCTATTACTTACATATCCCCCCTAAAGGTCTGGATGAATCTTCAACCATACAATAGCAAAGAATTTTTAAAATCCCTATCACATTTTTAGCAAACGTGGTCCTGATTCCATACGCTCACGGGTTGGCTTCTGAAACAGCTCCAAAACTAGCCCCCACCTGGTCTTGCCGATTGAAAACAGCTGTATCTACAATTTATGCACCTATAAGTAGTTCCAAGGCTAGCAGTGGTGTCCAGAACCACCTCACAAAAAGGTGCAGGTGGCTGAGGGCTATTGCGAGGGGGTGTTCACCGAAGGTCAAGCTATGGTAAGGTTAGA